TCGATAGTTTTATCAAACATTTTGCCTAAGTTTTTGCAGCATTTTGACGCTGCGGGTGTGGTCGAAAATTTAGTCGCGGCATGGTAAAAAATTTAGTCGCGGCATAGTCGAAAAGTTAGTCGCGGCATGGTCGAAAAATAAGTCGCAGCATGATCTAAAATAGTCGCAGCCTGATTGAAAAATTAGTCTCCAAAAACACGCATACACACCTCTGCCGCATTTTTTTCAGCTCAGTTTTTGGTTTAAAAAAAAGCGCCTCTGTCAATTGTTTTAGCTGCGTCTTCGTCTTTGAAACTTTTTTCTCTAGTAGTTTCTCCCCAATTGCTGTTAACTTTTCTTCTGTCGCACCGGTCGCGGTTACTTTTCTTTCGGTCGCGCCGGTCGGAAATGCCACATTTTGGTCGCGGTGGTTTGCAAATATCCAATTTTGGTCACTGCAGTCGGGAAAAGCAGTCGCGATCATAAAACTAAAAAATTGACCCGGGGCTGAAGTTCTAGATTAAGAAGTTGAAAAGGATAGTTAAAAAGAATTAATCAACCTTTTAGAGCCGCCGAACAGCTTTAAAATACTTTAACGAAAGTATGAAGACAAGCAATTGGAACACACAACACAAAAAATGTCGGCAACTTTTTCATACTATTTTGACTTTTGTTTAAAAGTAGCGATTTCTATTGACTTTCTTTGATAAAAAATAATATTTATATGTACTCTTTTTGTAAGAAAATTTTGTTTTAAGAAAAATATAAAATTTCGATTGATTACACAAATTACAGTTTAATCCAGAAAACAGAAAGAGTAAAGCAGATATGCAAGATCTTACCAGCGATGCAATTCAGACTGCAGCTAGAGCAAGCAAAACCTAAAAAAGAATTATATAAGACAATTCCTTGTCAAACTAGTGTAGAAAATGACTATTTCAGAGCCTGGGTCAACTAGTTAAGCCTGAATTGACTATTTGACGTTGTTAAAAACGATAAATTAAATTTTTTGTTGATTTTATATTTTAGTAAATAGGCTTTCAAAATTCTACAATTCTCGATTTGAAAAGATCCAAGAAAATTGCTCCTTATCTGTTTGCAGTCATACTTATATAGATTGTTGGGGATCTGATTTTAATGTCGCGATTCGGTTTTTTTAGTACAACAAGGCAGATTTGTTCGCTTCGATTAGGAAAGTACTGTTCGTGATAGCATCACTTGCAAATTATAATTTTAAACTTATCCAAAACGTTTAAAAAAGTCAAAAACGTTCGTTTTTATTTTTTTTTACTCTAAATATTAAATTGATGAATGAGAAACATTAGCTGAAGCCAATTAAATTTCAATTCTAATTAAAAAATTTTCAACAATGTCTTTCCATAACATTTACTAGTGAAATTACAAATCCATTTGTCCGCTTGATCAAAGTTAATTACAAGAAACTTTGAGTTTCATCAAAAGACCGTGACTCATCAAAAGCTTATATGGATGCAATAGGTTTTGAAAATTGGATCAAAGATGAACGCTTTAATCCCGTTCAATTACAGCTTGTTGATAGTTTTATCAAACATTTTGCCTGAGTCCTTGCATCATTTTGACACAGCTATGAGTGGTTTCAGCTCAAACAGAAAATGCTTGATCCCATCAAGTATTTGAATTAACTGAATACACTCGATTCAAAACAAAACGATTCAACCACCATATGCTACGCCCCGACTCGCCAGCAGGTATTTGAACAAAGGTTGGCCAGTTTGATTGATAATGTGCAAACTATTTTGTGTGCGTTGATGTTTGATTAAATCTCAATAAAAGGGAAAGAGTCAAAAATTGTCAAAACATAATTAAGTTGCATGATTTTTTGCTATGATAGTGAACATCATTAATTTTAATCAATTTAAAATCAGATTTAGAGATTGAAAAAATAATAAGAATAAAATGCATTACAACTAGATTGTTTTTTTTGCCTAAATAGATAATGACCAAGAAACTCAAATATTTTTTTGTTCCGACTTTCGATACGAAAGTAACGGAATAATTGTGCTCGGGGTGGGTTTTTTTTCAGACAATTTTTGACTTTTTAACTAGCCGTATTTGACGCAATTTTTTAATAATATCATTCGAAAGCTATTGTTGTCCTGAGCTTGAATTTGAAAAGATATTTCACCTGTGATCATTTTTCGTTAAGTTATGGGGGTTTAAAAATTGCCATTTTGGCCAATTTGGGACAATTAACGCGCGATAAATTTCGCGTTATTACCGCGTAACCGAGATTTAATCCGTCTTAGAAATTGTTCCAAATTGGTTCAAGGAAGCTTATATGCCATATTTGATTTGTTAATAGGCGCAAAATCTATCACTTTGTAATTAATATGACGTGTGGGAGGATGTTTTTACATAAAATTCTATTTTTTTATTACTTTGAAATTTTTCATTTTATTAATGCTCCATAGACCTGAAAAGGCAGGCAGTCGGAACTTTTAGGGCTTCACCCTGATACGAGCAGTCTTGTTTATCTATGGAAACCCTGTGAGAGATCCCTATAAAAAAATTGAATGTTTAAAATTCTCGAAAGTTATCTCAATGTTCGTTAATTTCATTTAAAAGATTTTGAAATGGCTAACGGTCTTTAACCTAGACCAACAAATTTCGGAGTTTATTTTGAAAGTTATATTGATGATAAATTACATGACCATCAGTCTCATGCTTGAACTTGAATTACAAAAAATGACGGGAAACCTTGACTAAATCTCTACACATTGAATCAACAAACTATAATTTGTCCAGAAAAAATCAAAGAGTGCTGCAGATGTGCAAGATCCCAACAGCGATGTAATTTTGACTGAAGTCATAGCGAGCAAAACTTGAAAACAAATTATGTAAGATATTTTTTTCATCAAACTGGTTTAGAAAATAATTATTCCAGAAGCTGCGTCAGTATAGTTAGTTGACTTGATTTAGGCGGCACTAATTTGACTATTTGACGTTGTTAAAAGCGACGAATTAAACTTATTGCTTTTTATTTTTAAATTTTTTTTTAAGTAACTAGAGATTTAAAATTCTAAATTACCCGATTTGAAAAACCCAATGAAATTGCCTCCTTATCTTTTCTACCAGGTTTTTGCATAAATATTTTTTAGTCGTTTTGGGAGACCTAACTTTAAGGTCGCGATTTGGAACTACAAAACGCTACAATTCGTGAAGGGCTGATCGCACCTTTGCATGCATTCGTGACCGCATGAACTTCAAATAATATTTTTAAACTTTTCCGAAACATTTAAAAAAGTCATAATTACTTTTTCTACCTTGAATATTAAAATGATGAATGAGAATGGGTGAAAACCATTAGCTGTAGCCAATTAGTTGGAGAGATTCAACAGAGTCTTTGCATAATAATTTCTAGTGAAACTACATATCCATTTGTCCGTTTGATTAATTTTAGTTACAAAACGCTTTGAGTTTTGAAGAAAAATTGTGACTCAAGTGATATGGATGCAATAGGTCCGTAACCAAAAAGTTTCAATGTTCTGAAGTTTTTTCAAAAATTGGATCAAAGATAAATGCGATATTATCTTGCGTTCAATTTAAGCTTGTAGATGTATTTTTAGAAGCTCAATTTTTTTTAGAAAAAGCACCAATTTTTGCTCTATAAAAAACCCGCGAAAACAAAACAGAAAAAGTCGATAACAAGACTGCTCCTATCAGGGCGAAGCCCTGATTGTTCCGACTGTCTTTTAAGGTCTATGGAGCAGAAATATCGGGTTGACCAAAAATGCTAGTCTTACATTTTTCATGCAATTCCAAAAGTACAAGAAATTGCATGAAAAGTCTATGATTAGTGATTTTTCATATATGGAAACAGCATGACTAGCGTTTTTCCATAGCTCAAAAATACTGATTTTTCGAATTTTACTTTGTCAAAACTTTTTGATTTGTGATGGTAACCGAATACAATGACAAAAACCTTCTCGCCTGAAGTATGCTTTGGAAACGGCCTGAAATGTCTTACGTATGTATTTGGCAAATACATAAGTATGAAAAAGTATCATACTTTTACTCTTTGGCAAAAATTTCAAAGATGATTTTTTTCATAGTTTGAATTTTTAATTACTCATGGCTTGTTTAGGATTACATAAACTTGCCATTAAAATTAGAAAAAAAAGAAACAAATGTCGACTAGAACGCGTGTTTAAAGTGCATACAAGCCAAACATGACTGTTGATTTAATGTCTATCAAATCTGTCTGTCTGTCTGGCAGATCAGATGAAGAAATGATCCAATGGTTCCATTGGTGCCAGTTGTTTACCTGGAAAAATAAATATTCCGATTTGATAACTCTTGTTCATTGCAAGTATAATAAACTGTTCGATATTGGCAATTTATTTTCTTAAAGAGCTGAACATTGCCGGTTTTTTCCTCATGAAAGCAAACTTTTTGGCTCGTTTTTTTTCGGCTCAGGTATTGGTTTGCCAGTGAAACTTCCTTCTATTCCATTCGATCTCTAAAGACCCACAAGATAAGTCCAAAAGTTGCTGTTACTGAGTTTACGACCCGAAGCAGTCACAGTACTAGATGAATTTTGAAATATAGCTTCTGAACAAATCACTTCTATATTTAGCTCTTTATTTCTCCACGATTCATAGTTGTAAGTCTCGCTTTAAATGATTTGAACAAATTGAACTAGTAAGGAACAGAAAATTGAAAAAGATGAAATCGTTAAAACTGATGAAAATACAGACGAAAAAAAGCATAAAAAAGCAACACTGGATAATTGATAACATTAGTTGGGTGAGCCTTTTCACTATTTTTGCAGCTTTTCATTCCATGTTTTTTTTTGAACTTGTAAACGTTAACAATCTTTTCAGCAGATTCTCTAATAATCTTAACGCCCATCTCATTAAAAAAATTACTTTGAATCTCTTGAAAAGCTGAACAAATCCACCTGTCAATTAGAAAAAATAATGATACCGCTTTAAAAAACATATCCTAAGTTTCTAGGACAAAATGTAACTCGAGATTATTTAATTTAGTGGCGTTGAATGCTAATTGAATCCCAGTTATTTTCTCTAACTTCAAAAAAGTATTGAGAATGACTTCATAGCCGTTACGATATTTTGGTTAATATATTGTTCAATGCTGCTATTTTCAATTACAGAGTGATACCAGTCTGTCAATATCATCAGAAGTCTAACTTGGGTAAAGGTAAGTTGGAAGCTTCAACAATGTCGTTTAAGTAAAATGCTCAGTTATAATTAGAAACGCAAGTAGAAATTATGTTTTAACATCAACCGACACTAGCATGCCAAGGGTGGGGGTGGGGGAGGTTGGGCGAGCGTTTTCCACTCCGCCTCAACTCTGGAAGCCAAACTTTTCGATAGAATTCTTCCTTTTTGACAATTTTAGGACAGCAATTACTGGTTGACGAACCGTAAAACTTTCTGAAGTCGCCAATTTTCAATGTTTTCGAGCGTGGAAAAAAATAAGTTTCCGAAATTTTTCATACTATTGTTTTTCTCTTTTTCGGAGACATTTTACTCAAACATAAGAAACGATAATACTTACTGTAGGGGCTCTTAGCCAAAAAAAGATGCGATGCAATGGAAGGGAACCAAAAAAGACTTCTTAAGTAGCGAAAGGGTCGAGGCTGTTAGATCAATGTTCTCATTCCATTTCTTCTCTCTTCTCACAACCCTCACCCCAATCACAAGAATAGGTGTGACCGAGCTTCGTCTTTCACTTAGCAAGATAACTCAGTATAACCTGGATAACCAATCAAGCGGGAGTTCACAATAAACTTAAACTTCCATAACAAAAATATCCTCAGAGAAACTGCCAAACATGAACCGTTTTTTTTTCCTATAAAACTTTCAGCCGGAGTTTCATTATCAAAAACTTAGAGTTGTCGTGTTTCAGTAATTTACTCGTCAGTGTTTAAATTACTTTTTGACAGCACGCTATTGTTTTAATAAGTTTTGGACATCATGGTAATTTGCCATTAGTCTACGAAGCCAGTAGTTTACTTACTTTTGTAAAAACCAACAGGTGAGAACTCAATTCAAAACTGTAACCACTTCGTACTTCATCTAGCTTAGTTGCAATCAATATTAATATAGTTAGTTCAACCAATTCGTGCCTAGTCGGAACCCAACATCAAAGAATTTTATATGGCGCTATCGGCAGGATTCAAATCTTCGCCGTCTTTACCTGTTTCGGACATTTTATTCAAACGAAACCCCTCGAGATAAACTCACAGCCAAGAGAACAGCTTGTATATCCTTTAGATGTCCCAGCGGCTTTAGTCAATCTCAAATTAAGAAGTAGGAACAGAGGGAAAAGCTATCTAGTCTGACGAAATGAATCTAACGAGGAAAATAGACACAGGAAGGTGGAAGATCACGCAAAGTTTAACGAAAAGATATCGGCATAAAAATTGATAGCAGTTGTATCCAGAGCTAGGAAAATGCGAAAAAATGCTTTGCAAAAATCAGCAAAACGTTTCGCAGAATCTCGGAATACCTTTAAAATGACATTTGCCATATGGTTATACCTTAGGGCACGGCAGGGTAAGGCATGCCATCATCAATGTGGTGTTTTTTCAGCGTTTAGAAATTGCAAGTTTCTTTGATTGGTAGATAAACCACACAGTTTTCACTGATTGCGTTCCCTCGACCAAACATGAATTTTTGGTCCGATTTTTTCTTTTTTCTCTGCATGTCTCTCTGTCCATTTGCTAGTAAAAACTTTTCAATCATGTCCCTGCTTTTTAGTATCATCTCGGATGTCTTAAACGGATCTTGGAAACGTTTAATTCTTGTACATAACAGCCTTATGATATTTCGGGCGGACTCCTTCCTTTCTCAGGGATTCGATTCCCCTCACCAACCAAAAAGTTCCCACTTTAGTTTTTTTTCTGAAATATTTTTTCGTCCAATCAATCCTTAAATTTTTCTAAAGACCGCTTCGGCGTCAATATATATTAATTTTTACAAGAAGCGGGCTCCGAAATAAAACGCAATTTTTTGGTCAAAAGTTTCCAAAAAGTGTCCAAAAACGACGTTTTTGACCCTTTTTTTTAAATTTTACCTGCAGCGCAGAAAACTTAGTCAAAATGGAATCATTAAGGCGTTTCGGAATCGCTCAGAAAATCAATTTGGCCCTTTTAAAAAAAAGTTCGGCTAAACTTTCGATTCTAACTACCAAATCTGACTATTCGACTTTGGCGTAAGCATCCAATTGGTAGTTACCGGTAACTGCCGGATAAATGGGTTTTTTCGAAGATTGAATTATAGGTTTCACAAGGATGACCCATTTTTCAAGAGCCTCCTTCATTTCTATACTTCTTGCGAACTATGAAATTAACTGGGAGACCATATGGTTAGTGCCCGGTCATATTTGGAAGGGAGAAGGCGCGGATAAGGAATATTCGTTCTGTTTATGGCGCATTCGTTTTCTCATTAAACCAGTCAACCTTGAGCTAAGCATTTACTTTTCATAGCTCTACATTAAAATTGGTAAATTTAAAGTTAATCAGCTGAAGATAAGATTCAATTTATTACATCCATCTTTGGAATTTTCATGGAAATACGACCAACTAGGCCATAGAATAGTCGATGGTCTGTAAAAACAATAAAACCAAAAAAGAAAAAGGTGGAAACTGGTTCGCACTTATCACTGGTTATCACTTTGGCAATAACTGTTAATGGGGTGCCGCATAAAGTTCAACTGTGCTATCTAAATATTTGTTCATTTCACAGGCCACTGACTATCATTTCATCAACATCATCCTCATCATCACTTTTACTCAATCAAAGGCAGCTGCTTTCATCATTGATCACAGTTCAGAAACAATCAACGCCAGAAAGCGACCCAAAATTATAAAAATCAGATCAAAGTAACATCAGCAGCTCGTCAAAAAATGAATCCCGTCTATTTCTGCCTTGGTAAGTAGCCTCCATCCAAAATTTTTTTGTGTTTTGACATCGCCTTTTTTTTAAAGTATTTATACAATTCTTGATCTTTGAAAAAAAAAGATTTCTAAATTATATTTACTCGCGCATGGCAAAAGTACTTAACATTGATTTTTTTTCTGATTATTATTTCAGAAACAGATATTATTATTGATATTATAAAGCAAAATCAGACGCAATCATTAACAAAAGAATGTCTGCATGCTGTCAAACATTTTCTTTTTTTCATGACCATCATGAAATACAAACTGCATGAGAACGATAAGTAATATATTTACTAAAGCAGTCGTAATAGTCCAGTGGGACTTGCTTAATGGAAACAAAATAGCCATGATACGGACAATTACAGATTCACTTTGAACAGTTATTAACTCACGTTTTGCTTTTTAAAAAATCGGCGATGACATTATTAGAAAGAAGGTTTTTTAAGATCTAAGTTTCCATTTAAGCGAGGAACAATTGAGAGCCATTTCTTTCTCAGACCAATTTCAAGTGATGAATTGATTCTTAGACTTGATCAAAATAGAATTCTGTGCACAGTTCCAACAGCTCTGATTGAAATTACCCGGACACAAAACAAAAATGCATTTCCTCAAATTGGGTTAACTTAAGGCAAAATAATGAAAACAAGAGTTGCTAATGTATTTTTTAGAACTGATTTGTAGATTTTTTTTGCAAAATTGTTCCCCAAGTTTTCGACTCTTTGTCTGTTTCGGCTCTATTTGACTTTATTATAACTACGCAAAAATTTCCGGGTGATTTGTTAAGAAATTACATTGAAACAAGCGTCATACTCAGCCCAACGAAACAAAACTAAAACAAGTGAAGGAGCCATCAAAAAATGTAGGAGCTTGAACTAATGTTTGAAAAAATTTCATTCAAATTTTGAAGCAAACTATCCAAATTTTTGTGCTCGGAGTAGTTTTTTCTTTCAACAATTTCGACTATTGAAGTTTTCGACCAACATTTTTTATACCTTCTGAAAAACATTGCATGGATTCGTTTTCGAGATTCGTTTTCATCGCTTCCCTCGTCATCACCAACCATAGATGTTCTTTTTTCGGATTCTATGGTTGGAGGTGGGGGGGGGGGGGGGCTGATAGCCGATGTAGACACTTGTCACGCTTGTCCATCTTGTACTCCGCCATTTACTCCTTTCGACGAGTTTCCAATTTTAAACAAATGGTTTTAGAAAAACTATTTCACCTGAAAGAAAATAATGATGCCTGAGCTTAAAACGTTAAAGATATATATGTTTCCTCCTTGTAAAATTTGAAAAAATGACGGCTCGCATTTTTTTCAAGAAGAGTTTCGATGATTGAAAATTAATTTAAACTTCCTATATCAATGAATTAACTCAAAAAAAATTAAACTGTGAGCTTTGAGTCTTTTATCATTCAAATTTTTGAAGTTTCTTCTTCATTACTCTGTTATTTCTAGTTTCGAGGTTGAAAAATAATGCGAACGTTTTATTTGCGCAATTCGTTTTCATGAAATCACCGTTTCAAATTGTGTGAATTTAATTTACACCTCTATGTCAGAAAGGTTTCTATGTACAGCCAAACCCAGCCATAAACTTGAACCTGAAGGTCATTGAAAACAAAACAAATCTTTTAATTCAAGTCAACGTTATTTGAACACAACTTGGTTTAAAAAAAATAGACTTCAGCTGCGCAGTAAAGTGCCCAGGAATGTAAGTTTTCAAAAATTAAAAAAGCAAGTTATCAAATTTTTAAAATAAGATTACAAATTATTTTGAAAGAAATTAGTTGAGCTTAGGAAACGAGAAACTTTTGATTTAATATAAAGCCAAAAAACAAGAACAAAGCAAAATGAAAAGAAAGCAACTGCAATGCGACCTTAGTATTGAGGCTGCACAGACCGTCCTAGCCGGTTTCGCGCAGGTACAATTCCCACCTAAGTAATTTCATTGATGAAACACCAATGAACCAAACACGCCAAAACATAAAAATAAACTCTCCGTAACCGGATTCGAACCCCCTTCCCACCCAAAAAAAATTGTATTTTGTTAGTTATTTAAGTTTATTCATAAAACCGCCTTGGCCGTCCTTGATTGACTGGTTCCCGCCAAAGTTTTTACCAAAAATGTGAACATGTTTTCACGCAAAAATCTCGGTGCTTCGTGCTAGCCGTTGAATATTGGTTGTTCATGAATTTTTATCGAATATTTTTACAGTTTGGAAAACAGAAAGGTCACTTTTAGGCCAAAATTGGGCGGACGTAGGCAAAATTTCATCGTTTCAGAATACAATTTGAATCTATAGCTGTTTTTCATCATTGCAACAGAACTGCGAGCACAGTTTTTAGTTTAAATAATTTTTCAAAAAAATCTACTTTGAGCAAAAAAGTATCTTAGGTAACTAATTTAGTTTGGAAAAACGGTGGAACTCATGAGAGAAAAACTGAAACATATTTTCCTCATAACATGCCAGAAAAAAAAACTAACGTAGATTGAGCACCGTTTCTTGTGTAGAAAACAATTTTAACTAAGTTTTAATGTCTGCTGTCTTTTATGTTGTACTTTCGATTGCTTTTTTTCTTTTCTCATCTCAGAACGATATTAGTTTTTAAGTGACTCCAAATTTCCGAAAACACAGTCCATCTCATAGTAAAAAATACTTGTATATATCCGATTTAAGGTCTCAATTCTACATTAATTTAATTTTGTGCATCAGACAGCGCACTCAGTACGAAAACAATATATATATCAAGCAGCAATCATAATCTAAACTAAATATTTTTAACTTCCAGGAACCTTTCTATGAGCAACCACAGAACATTGTTTATGCAGTACCGTATAAATTGATGTTTTTCTGGAATGGGAAAATTTCAGGAGAAAAAGCAAAATGAGTGAAATATCGCTCGTCAGATTTTAAGAATCCGTTATCAAATAAAGATAAAACTCAGTTTTTTTTGAAATTTTTTCTAGATAAATCGTTTTTGCTCAATTTCTAACGTTATAGAAAAGTGTTAGAAATATACATGGCTATGCTTAGTTTGTATTACACGCCATGATTTCACATCTGACTATCCAAGTTACCAGGCTATAAGCAGAACAGATTGTTTTTGATACAAACTTTGTGATTTTTCCATTGTTTTTGAAAATTTGAAAAACAAATCAGAAACTAGAAAAAAAATTGTAGTAGAGAATTGATTCATGTTTGAGAGTTATACAATTTTTCAAAATCTACGGCATTGCGACAGTTATAAAATAAGACACACAAAAAATTGGACAATACCAATAAATTTTGAATTAAAATTGCTTTGTTAAAATTGTAAAACGAGTGCGAGAATGACTTTTTTTGATTGCCTGTTCCATTTCGGCTAAAACAATCTGATTTGCCTTTCACCACACCTAAACGTATTTTGGTTTTGATTTTCCACCATCGAAATCAAGACTGAAAAGGTTTTGAGATGACACCAAACCAAAAAACAAGTTTTCTTGTGGCTTTCAGAAAATGCCTTTAATTCTTAGTAAGAAGCATTAGACAGCTCAAACCTTGATTATGTGAGTTTATGAATTGAAGTTTTACAAAAACAAAACTTCCGCCCCCCTTTCAGGGATTCAGGGATTCGACCCCCTGCCGACCCAAAGGGTCCCCCTTTGGTACTTTTTAAGAAATCCATTTTTGGCCGACGGAGCCTGAAATTTTTCTAAAGGCGCCTTTGGCGCCAATATATACTAATTTTAATGGGAAGCGCGCGCCAAAAAAAGCGCGATTTTTTGTCAAAATTTTCCAAAAAGTGCCCAAAAACGGCTTTTTTGACCTGTTTTTTTTCTTCAAAAATTTGCCGAAAATTTGGCCAAATCAGCGTCTTCTGGCCAAAACTTTTCCAAAACATTTTGAAAACCCACCCCCCCCCCCTCGAGAAAATCCTAGATCCGCCTCTGATTTTTTCGGCTCTTCCGCGTATTGTCCTTTTCAGGCTTACAATAGCTTATATTCGGCGTTATTTGAAAAATATTTTTTTTGCAATTGTTACTGATTCAGCAGCCGGCTATTCTTCTACACATTCTTTTGATGATTAAAATCAGTGGCAATAACTTTCATTTTCCATCAGTTGGAAAAGTATTTGGCTATAAACAGGTGTGTAGAAAAAGATAATGCCTACAATTTTAAAAAATCTTCTACTAAGAGGTGATTCTTTTTGTTTCAGTAACTATTCTCGCTGCCTCATTGGGTGAGTCATCATACTCCACCCATCGGACTCTAACCCAAAGCCATAAGTGTGGCCCAATGCCATTCTACACAATCATGTCCATGGCCCGATCCATAGACGACTTTTGTTCAGTCTACCCTGGTGCGACAATTGAGTTAGTGGCCCAGCCAACAAACAGTGACTTCGGATTTGAATCGTACAAACAAGACGAACATAAGAAGGCGCTCGGAGTTTTCAGATTGGCCGAAAGCCAGGATCCCGAATCGATAATGGGCAAAAGGGGGAGCTATGGGAAGAGAATAGGCGTATTCAGGGTTTCCGAAGGCGGTGATAAAGACCAGGCATTATTGGGAAAAAGGGGAATCTACCACAAAAGAATGTTCAGTTCATAATCAAAACAATAACTGAGATCTCAAAATAGGCCGGATAATTTTTTATTAAAATTGTTTAACCAAGTTGAGTAATTGTCAAATTATCTGCCGTTGATCTGAACTGTATAATTTATTGTTTGGTGAAACGAAACTTGTTTTCAAGCTGATTTTCAAAACATTTGAAAAACCTAACTAGGTAAGAAAAGGAAACACTGTCGTCTACAGTGCTTCAACGGTGAAAGTGTTCGGAACAACGAAAAACCTCTTCAATTATCCATGCCAGTTTTTCAAAAAAGTGTTTATTTGAAATTCATCTTTTTTTCCGACCGACAGAAACCAAAAAGACGTTTTCTGTACCAAGGTTTATTAAAAGTTATAAGAAAAGTGCGACTGTACAAATGTTATTTCTAGAGCAAGCGTGCATGAAAATGACCTATAATTCGGATAGTAAAAGAAATTTTATTCAAAGTCGATCTGCAGTTAAAAAATATGGCTAATTTAAAACGCGCTCCAAATTTCTTTTTAAAATGACAGGCCCTTAATGCTCCTCATATAGATTATTAAAATAATTTGATTACACTCGCGGGTTAGCGAGCGAAGTGTTATGTCAAGAATCCATTTTTTTTCTAACCAACTCGCATAGCAGTGGCAGTTTGAAAGCATCTATCATATCTACTCCAATGGTGGGTAGTTTTTGACTATTGTCAAGTGAGCATAGAGCAGAGGCGAGGACGTGAGACTCGTAACCTTGAGGATTTACCCGCGTTGACCTCCATAAACCAAAAAAGCTTATCTTACAATTCCATACATCAAATTTCTGGTCAAATGCTAATCATAAAATTTTCATGCATTTTAAAAAAAATCATTATGCAAACCGAAAAAAAACTGAAAAAAACTGTGAAAATTGAAAGTTGTATGACTAGCATATGTGAAAACAAACGTTTATCCAAGTAAAATTGAAATTCCCTCAAAATTTTTTTTCAACCGCAAATCGAATTTTGTGTTCCAACCAACATTTTCCAAAAAAAATTTTGCATGCAAACTTTAATTTTTCGTCCGCATAACACAGTCCTGGATACACAAAAATTGAAGTTTTTTCCCGTTTTTCTGGATAACTTTTTTCAAACAGAAATCCAGACGATCAACCCTTTGGTGACTCTAGTTTTGAGTAAGCCATGGGTTTAGTCACTTGTGTTCGGTCACGGACACATCCCAAAAAATTTGAGAAAATTTTTTAAAAAATCAACTTTTTGGTTTATGAAAAAATACTTGTCCTACAATTTCCATATATGAAAAAAAACTTAGCTTAGAGTTTTGTTTACATTTTCTGCGTTTACAAAGTGAGTTGTACAAAATTATTATGGAATTGTACAAAATTGTATGATAAGCATTTTTTCATATATGAAAATTGTAGGACAAGCATTTTTGGTCAACCAGGGTATGTTCAATTCCAGTACAACTTAAAACTTTAAAGTCCAAATTTGATTTTTAGTTTTCTTTTTTTTTCTTTATTTCATCTTTTAATTTGTTTCAAGCTACTTTTTGCCGTTTTCTTGCCTGTGATTGCGAAGGCCAGCTTCGCGTCAACTTAGATTATAAAATTTTATCTTTTTGTTTTTCCCCGACATCCAAATTACAATAACAAAACTGCTCGTATCAGGGCGAAGCCCTAAATGTTTCGACTGCTTTTTAACGTCTATGGAGCAGTTTTAACCTGAAAAAAAATATATATAATAAAATAAGATGAAATTTTTTTAAAAGTTTGAGTTTTTTTGTGAAAATTCCCCCCCCCCCCCCCGCTTGCCTTTAAAAGTACAAAGTGGTAGATTAGGCAAATAACGTGAGGCAGTTAAGGCAAAGGAAGTTAAGGCAAATAACGTGTTTCAACCAATTTGAAACGATTTTTAAGATGGATTAAATCTCTGCTGACGCGTTAATAGCGCGAAATATATCGCGCGTTAATTGTCCCAAATTGGCAGAAACGGCAATCTTTAAAACCCTTATAAGTTTATGAAAAATGACCACAGGTGAAATATCAAATTTAAGCTCAGGAAAACAATACCATTTGAATGATATATAAAATTCCATCAAAAATGGCTAGTTAAAAATTTTAAATTTGTCTATAGAAAAAAACCACCCCGAGCACAAAAATACCTTTACTTTCGTTTCGAAAGTCGGAACAACAAGACTGCTCGTATCAGTGCAAAGCCCTAAATGCTCTGATTATCCATAAACTGGTCTCGAATTGTTTTTGCTTAATCCGATAATGACAAACTATGAATTTTAAGCCGAATATTAAGAACCGTGTATGAAACTAATAAGACCAATTTGCGTGCCTCAATTGAATTTGGAACGATTTTGTTGAACGGGATAATTCGACACGCGTAAATAATGCGCGTTGAATTTTCAGTATCAAAATATCACAGTGTTCTTTTAGTCAGGTTTGTCTATTTGTGAGCGTTTCACAGCAATCTGTAAGTCAGAATATTCTAGTGGTGAGCGCGCCTCTACTCACGAAGATCTATGGATTAATCCGCTGAGGGTAAATTTTTGAGAGTTGGTCTGAATTCTGAATAAAAAAACCATCCCGAGCACATACAAGACTTACTTTCCTTGAAAATTGGAACAATAAGTATTAAATTGGCGTCGTACAGGGAGTTATTAAAATTTTTGATCGATTCGTTTTTGTCTTCAAAATGCAATGTACAGAAGTATGTGTTCACGTTTTAGACATATGGGGAATTATTTTACCAAATAGTTTGTTAATTCAAAATGGAACAATTTGGAGCGCAAAATAATTTGTGATGTCAGCTTCATCGGAGCGGCATTAGGAAGAAGGTATTATTTTGTACAATTTTACAAAAAACTTAATTTTTTGATCAAAACCTTCCAAAAACTGTCCAAAAACGGCGTGCTTGGCCTTTTTTTGAATGTTTCCTCTTTTTACAGTAGTTTTCAATTTTTTATTTTGTTTTTAAAACTTCCCTACGCGCTCGATTTCAAATACCAAGTGCGATATTTTCATTTACTTACAGTTTTTTTTAGAACTATTAAGTTGACTCAGTTGACTGAAATCAATAGGTAAAAATTAATATGTCGCACACGCTACGCGCTTACATAAAACTGGACAAAAAGAAATCATTATGCAAAAGTTCTGTCGAAAATGGTATATAAAAAAGTTGAGAAATTGTCAAAGTGAACATGGAGCTGAGGCAAAGACAGGAGACTCGTAGCCTTCTGGATTTGTGCTCTTCCCTCCCTAGTTTTAAAAAGTCAAAATTCGAACCAATTCCCTTCACAGAATCAAACACAGAAAATGAATTTTTTCTATCTTTTTCTCTAATTCATCTAAAACCAGTGTTCGTCCACACTTGCAATTATTGGATCTGAATTTTACATATGATGTATTATAAAACTAATAATGAATGACAACTGAAAATTTGGTTACAACTTGGTGGCTGGAACTAAACATGCATAACATCATCAGTCTCATCAGCGCTCTCATGAGTAGGTGACTCGTAACGGTCCTCCAGCGTCCACAGACCCCTCAAGCTTTCCAGGGGTGCGTTGAATCGAGGCACCTTGTGACTGGTGGCGATGAATTCGTCAACACATTCGTCAATAAGCTCTTCGGGACAGACACTGGTACACCAGCGAACTCTAATTCGATTCTTGTTTGCCGGATTTACGAGAAACATTGCCAGCTGGTCACTTGCACATTCTTCCCAGCCGAACAGTACCTGAAAAAAGCTAGTTATTGAAAATTGTTTTCACTAAGGCGTTCAAGATTACTAAACGGTCTTATGAAACGATATGGCGAGATATTTTAGTTGCCGAAAAAGTACTTCGATTGTTACAAATTTCTGATTCATAGTGCGAAAAGCAATAAGTCTGGTTCAAAGTTTCGGGTTAACTTATTTACTTTTTTGGTACAAGTTTTAACTTCGCATTTTAAAAAATGTAGTCATACTAAATTTGTTTTCAAGAAGGAGCAATTAATTTATAGTTTACAAAACCGATGCTTAAAAATTGCCATGTTAGAAGAACAGCAAAAAGGCCAGTTAGCTGCCTATCGAGTGGTGCCTTCGTTGATATTCTCATCGTGAACTGATAGTTGCTTTCAACTTACGGGTAGAATAGTTTCCCTCAAAGTTGTCTCTGATCCCGTGTGACCTATGTACACAATGTCCACATTTGACACGAATGCGGCTGACTTCACGACTCCTATCTGGTAAAGACCAGAGGCGATGGGTGCGATTGAGAGTGCCTCGTCACGTGACATCCATGCGCCAGCCTCCGCCTTCCACTTGGCCGAGTGGAAAACTCGCTGGAGTGCCAGATAATCACCGGAGCTGAGGAAGCGAAATCATAAAAAGGTTCCTATTTACAGAGAGCCGAAAATGGAAGGATCTGGGGCAAATTTAAGTGGAAAAGGGCGGCATATTTTGGGTAGTACTTCCAAAAACGTGCCAGAACACGGACTTTTTGTCTAACTATGTTGCAAAATTTGCCTGGGGAAAAAGGTTTTTGGCTAAGAAGGGTTTTAAATGGCTACCATTTTCAGCTCAGACCACTAACTTTCATGCTTCTTCAAAAAAAAGAATTAAAAAAATCTTTCGTCTTAAATCAACGGTTTTTTTCATTCGATCAATCAATAGTTTGAAATGTACTTTCTTCCCAAAAAAAATCTTGGAAAATAAAAACCCAACAATTCCAACTGAGTTCACATTTTCAACTTCGTTGTAATTTTCGTCTTTTTTTAGTTAATTTGATCAAAAGCTAATTAGGCTGCTGGATAAAATGTTACTTTGTCGCAGCTAATTCTACTTTATACAGTTGGAAGAATAAGAGAATAAAAGTGAATTAATCTAAAGTTAAATCATTAAAAAGTGACGAAGCATTCTCTCCGCCGGAGATGATGAGAGAGTGAAGGTCAGACGTAAGTGATACATAAATCATTAGCTAAACTAGAATAGATATTAAGTGGAATCACATCATTCCTCTAAGCAGGAAAAAATTCAAATTGCAAAATTAACTAATTAACTAACTAACTGCTCATTTTCTCCCTTTCAGGAAACAAAATGAAATTTTAAGCGTCATAAGTGAACTATGTTAGGGTTAAGATTATCGAATGGATTCAATTTAGGAGATTCAACGATATGAAATTAATATATGAATTAGAATAGGTAACCAACATCCGCCGGATGTAAACGAAGTTAAATTCCTTGAAATGTAACTGAGTCAATATGGAATCAGCGAGCTGGAGTAAGTAGGTTACTGCTACAATTTAAAGATAGACAATCATTAAGCTGGATATACACTCTGATCCGAAGGAATGATAAGGTTAGTCTAAGTAATATAACAATCCAAAGAGTTTTGTAATAAATGGACAGCACCGAAAAGGCAAAAAAACTTGTAAACAGTTTTATGAATTAGCAGTTTTTATAGCAGTTTATAAAGTTTTCAAGTTCTGCATTAAATAGTTCGCTAGCAAGGTCCATGTTTCCGTCGCAATTGTCGATAGCGATTCTTAACGATTCGTCGGTCAAAGAAGAGGAGTGTATGTCTGACGAAGAGGGGTCTGAAAAAACGGTCACTGCCTCCAAAGGAGTTTTCTGGTGAGACGAATAAGAAGTTTCGTTGAGGTTGTTATCCAGGACAATGGGGTTTGATGCAGAGCCAGAATTTTCTTGAGATTTATTGATAACACCTTTATAATAGCAATTACCGTAAAATTTCGGCAGGCCCTTTTTTCGACTTGAACGACGTAGGGTGGTTCATTACCGGAATTAAATGGAGGCTGAACGGTTGAAATTGCTTCATCAGACGAGTCAACCATCTCGTAAGCCGGGAAGTTCACTGGCGGATCCTCGTTGATTGTTTTTGCTGAAATATCCTTCGGGCCCGTTTCTTGTGAGGTCGCAATTGGTTCCGCCGGGATGATGCTGCTTGGGCACTGTGATGTTATCAACTCGTCGTCTTGGCTATCGTTCAAAATCTCATCCTTAATGTTATTTTTTGCTTTACGAGATTTAGCAGTGTTATTATTGCGCTTTAGGTCATTTAGTGAATCGGAAATAATTCGGTTCCTAACCACGTCTCTAGACGGAAAACCTCCAGCTATCCATTCCCAATCGCTAATATTGGAGGTAACCGAAGGAACAAACATGGACACGTCAGAAGCAAGATAACCTGGAATACTAGTCGATTTCTTAGATCGTGGTGGCTGTCATCGAGTAGGGTTGTTCTATTTGATTTTTCTATTTGATAAGGGTAATTCTATTTGATTCCTGGTCTTCGGTTGTTGATTTCTTGGTTAATTCGATTTTCAGAGTTTCGCACGTCTCGGACCTTTTTCAACATTAGGGTTAGAAAGTATGGGAACGGTATGTTGCCTCTAAAAGATCGAATTTTTGAAGAATTTGATTTAGGAATAGCGATGTCTGTTTTTCTGATTATTTTTCCATCGGATAATTCTACAGTCGTACTGGAGGTATTTCTGATTTTTTGATTTAACACTTTTAAAACGGATTTCCATTGATGCTCTCGTTCTTTTTCCGAAAAATTTTACCTTTATATGGACTTTGGAGGGGCATTCTACACGAGGAGGTTTTTGAGGGAGACGGGTAATTTGATTCGAATTCCTTCTCTGTAGGTGTCTGATTCTTCATGGGGATCAAAGTATTTCTGTATCCATCCTCCACTCATCTGCGTGCCAGTCCTTTGCTCTTTCATTGGAAAGTGTCAATTTTTCTTCGTCTAAAATTCCATTGGGCGGTTTACCAGATGTCAGTTGTTTCCAAATAGTGACTGGTTTTATATTAAAATGTATTTCGAAAGGAGAGCATTTACTTTTTGATTGTTAAGAGGACCGAAGGTTCCAGATAGTTTTTGAGACAACATCTTGTAATGTACATTTTTCAAATTCGTGGGCAATTGCCAACAGTTTAATTTTTACAGTATAAACAAGGTTCTCAATTAATCTATTGGAGCGAAGTTCTCCTACTGTACAAAATTTCAATTTGATATTGTTCGAATTGCAAAACAATTTGAAATCCTGGCTTTTAAAACAAGATACATGATCTACACAAATTTAGCAGGGTATGCCATGAAAAAATATGTAGTTTTGAAGGAATTTGATAACTATTTTTGACGATGTATATGTAGTAATTTTTTCCGAATGAATTTTTAAAAATCGGTTGTTGCAAAGTAAAATATATTTATCTGAGCCCCAGTGAGAATCTAGAGGACCGGCGAAATCTAAGTTGGGTTCCAGTAAGGGGAGAAGTTTAATAGATTGAGAATTAAGAGTTATGCTTTTTAAATTTTTACACTTCTTTGTACATTCTGGACAATTTAGGATAAAATGATAATAAACCTGTCTGTAAATGTGGGGCCACCAGATGTATTGGGCTAAGCATTTTATTCCAAATGACCAGGATGTTTTTCATGGAGTGTTTTCATCATTGTATTTCTCAAGGTAAAAGGGATAACTATTTACCGTTCATGTATAATAATCCGTCGGATTCGTGTAAGTCTCGTACGTAGTGGTGGAAATATGGGAAATTTGCATTATTCGCCCCAACTTTGTTTTGAACTGTTTTTATGATAGAGCTCAACAGTGGGTCGTCTTTGGTTCGGAAAGCTCCTAATTTGGCATAAAATAATGAATTTAAATCTAATGGACAATCGGGCAACTTCAAAATTTCGCGCGGAATTTGTTTACAAGTTTTTCGTGATCTGATAACAATGGGAATTCTAAAGAAATTTTAATACCGGATGTGGACAGAATAATCAAAATTTCATTAATTTCCATTTAAACAATATTTACAATTTTTTTATCTAAGCTGAATTAATCATGATACAATTAAGAAAAAAAAGTATGAAAATGCTGAATTGGAAATAGACATTTTTAAAGAGTTAATATTTGAATAATCCGAAAGAATACTTTTTGAAGTACAAACTTCAGTTCGATGATTTGAATCTTAAATTGAAAAATTCGCGTAAATAGATTTTAGAACTGATGCTAAAAGGTAACTACGTAACCTTGCGTAATCGGAATTTTCCAAATTTGAGCCAATAGCTGAGCATGTCAGTGTTTATCCGAAGAACAAATTGCTTTCTTGGTTTTATCTATATTCGCAACTACAAGTTCATCGTCATAATTTGATGGGGTTAGGGTTTTTCCAGATGGAATTCTTGAAATTAAATCAGTGAATCCTTTACCTTTTCCTGCCAAGTGCTTAATTGTAAAATCAAACGGTAGTAAACAATCAACCCATCTTGTTAGTCTGCTGTGATATGTTTCATTCTCGTGGTTTATTGAAAGGACGGAAAATTTTGCTTTATGATCTGTAATTACTTCAAACTCTGATCCATAAAGGTAAATTCTATAGTGTTCTACCGCCCAAACTACTCCTAAAAGTTCTAATTTATAAGTGGAATCTTTAGATTTGTGTAGATTTAAAAACCGAGAGGCAAAGGAAATCGTTTTTCAGTAATTCCCGTGGAGTTGTTCTAGGGATGCTCCTAATTAGTTACGCGATGCGTCGATTTTTATTATAGTTTTACATTTTACATCGAAATGCATCTTTTCTGTCAGATTGATAATTTCTTGTTTGAATTTCTCGAAAGCTTTTGTATGGTCAAGATTCCAATGGAAAATAGATTTCTTTTTAACAGGACGGAGCGAGCTTTCGAAAGATACCTAATTTGGCACGAACTTATTATATTAATTTATGGACCACAGAAAGGGTCTGAATTCCTTCAGTTTTTTGGGGATAGGTTGTACTTTATTGCTTTTGTTTTATCCAACAACGGAAAAAATTTCATTACTTGACATTTTAAATCGCAATCATTTGATTTCTCTTTGCAAAAATGTGCATTTTGTCCACTTAATTGCAAAACTATAATCGTCAAACGTTGATAAGGTTTTGTAGACAATGTTTTTGTGGTCTAAGAAGCTTCCTTTGGATGCAATTAAAACGTCGTCTAAGTAAAAATTTGTAAAAGGAATCGTCCCTAACGTTGAGTCCATGACTGTTTGAAAATCGTTAGGTATATCGCCCAATCCATAAAAACCAGTTAAAAATTGATAAGTGCCAGTAATTTCACCGCCTACTATTCTAAAATTACACTGATTACTAGTAAATTTGCTAAGGGGAGTTGACTATAGGCATTTTTCCAATCCAGTTTAATAAATCGTACTTCTCCAACGGAATCATTTGAAATTTGTGCCGCTACGTTATCTACAAGCTCGTGAATATTCGGCATTTAGTATTTAATTTTGTAGATCTGCTTGTTGCTAAATTTTGAATCTAGTGCCAACTTGATCGATTTGTCTTTCTTACAAGTAATGACAATTGGGCTGATAAAGCGATCTTAATCGCAATTTTGCAACTTTTTAATGTTTCCCTCATTTTTTAGCCGGTTAAATTCAGTTTTAACTGAATCAAGTAAGTGGAGAGGAACGCGTCTACCTTTCAATTGGATTGGCTTTAAAGGTTCGTGAAAATAGTTTTTTATTTTCCCAATCCAATGAAATAGACTATTAAAAGTAATAGAGATGTGAGTTATTTCCTTGTTTTTTTTCCGCGGTGGAAATAAAATTTATTGACTTACACATCTTGTTCGTCTGGAAAAGGGGAAAGTATTTCTGTGATATTTCTATCCCCACTTTGGGAAGGTTGTCATTACCGAGGAGTTTTCTCTCGTGTCCTTCTGTCCGGAAGAAGTGGCAGTCATTGTGTGACCATCCATTTGAGAAGATCGGAAGTATCACTGTGCTGGAGATGTTGATGGCATTGTCTGTGAACCCGCAGTATAAGTCCTTGGTTGCTTTGTTCGCTGAATAAATTTTTAGATAAGGATCCCGTAACTTCAATTCATGTATATCGTTCTTCTTGACAAAATTGACCGGGCTATTAGAGTCCACTTGGATGTTTAAAATTACTTGGTTTTCCTTCCCGAGGCCAATATTTATTACTTTCTTAAGTTTTTTTCCATCATTGTCAAAAACTGTAGTTACAATTAATACAGAATAATTGTCGTTTTCATTTTTTCCAGATTCCGACTATGCATTGGTCACGCCACAACATTCTCTATTTACATGGTCCAAATTTAAGTCCGGATGATCCGACGGAATATATTCTGCGTTATCTACTGTTTGAGATTTTACAATGTTTACTACTTTTTTACGACAAGATTTACAGAGTCTGGTGAAACGGCCTTTATATTTACAGGATGTACAAGTTGTGTCTTTCGCTGGACAAACAACAAGGTGTCCTTTTAAAAAAATCCAGCCACATTTTATACAGATATTGCTCCGTTCAATATTTAGGGTTGGTTCTCTTTTGACGTTAAAAGGGTTGTAAGATTTGTTTACGGATGATCCGTTGGATTTAAAAGTATTTGTTGTTTTTAAATGGTTGGAAATTGTTTTTTCATCGATCAGGGCAACGTTAAGTGTTTTCCACGGTGGTAAGATTTCGGTCAGGAGCTTTCGTTGTATATCATATTTTTAATGTTATTTATGAAAATTTCCCTGATCCATTCGTCCTCTCCGGCGGCTATGTCACACTTTTCAGCCATTTCAGCTAAAGCTCCCCAAAATTGTTCTATTGACTCTTTGTCTCATTGTTTTTGTTTAACAACTTGTGCCTTTTGAATGTGACTTTTATTTTCCTGACAAAAGTGGTTGCTAAGTGTTCCCAAAACTCTTTGAAAGAATTTTGAAGTATTTTTACCTTATGTGAACTTCTGCCCAAAGATTCGTTTTCCCTCGATTCCTAGGGCTAAATAGAGGATAGAACGTAGTTTCTTGTCGGCTTCCCCTATTCTCATTCCGTTAAGTTTCTTGATTTCGGATTTAATAGATGCCGCTTCCTCGTCGTAATAGATGCCGCCCAAACGATTTAATAGATGCCACCCAAACGATTTAATAGATGCCGCCCAAACTACTCCTAAAAGTTCTAATTTATTAGTGGAATATTTGGATTCGTGTAGATTTACAAACCGAGAGGCAAAGGAAATCGTTTTTCAGTAATTCCCGTGGAGTTGCTCTAGGGATGCTCCTAATCCGTTACGTTACGCGATGCGTCAATTTTTATTATAGTTTTACATTTTACATCGAAATGCATCTTTTCTGTCAGATTGATAATTTCTTCTTTGAATTTCTCGAAAGTTTTTGTATGGTCAAGATTCCAATGGAAAATAGATTTCTTTTTAACAGGACGGAGCGAGTTTTCGAAAGATACCTAATTTGGCACGAACTTAATATATTAATTTATGGACCAGAGAAATGGTCTGAATTCCTTCAGTTTTTTGGGGATAGGTTGTCCTTTATTGCTTTTGTTTTGTCCAACAACGGACAAAATCCCTTACTGGAAATTTTAAATCGCAATCATTTGATTTTGACCACTTAACTTCAAAACTATAATCGTCAAACGTTGATAATGTTTTGTAGACAAGGTTTTTGTGGTCTAAGAAGCTTCCCTTGGATGCAATTAAAACATCGTCTAAGTAACAATTTGTAAAAGGAATCGTCCCTAACGTTGAGTCGTTTGAAAATCGTTAGGTATATTGCCCAATCCATAAAAACCAATTAAAAACTGATAGGTGCCAGTAATTCCACCGCCTACTATTCTAAAATTACACTGATTACTAGTAAACCTGCCTACGGTGAGTTGACTATAGGCATTTTTCCAATCCAGGTTAGTAAACCGTACTTCTCCAACGGAATCATTTAAAATTTGTGCTGCTACGTTATCTACAAGCTCGTGAATATTCGGCAATTAGTATTTATTTTTGTAGATCTGCTTGTTGCTAAATTTTGAATTTAGTGTCAACTTGATGGATTTGTTTTTCTCACAAGTAATGACAATTGGGCTGATAAAACAATCTTAATCGCAATATAGCAACTTTTTAATGTTTTTCCTCATTTTTAGCCGGTTAAATTCAGTTTTAAGTGAATCAAGTAAGTGGAGAGGAACGCGTCTACCTTTCAACTGGATTGGCTTTAAAGGTTCGTGAAAATGGTTTATTTTCATCTGATTTTTTATTTTCCCAATCCAATGAAATAGAATATTAAAAGTCATAGAGATGTGAGTGATTTCCTTGTTTTTTTCCATGGTGGAAATAAAGTTGATTGACTAACACATCTCGTTCGTCTAGAAAAGGGGAAAGTATTTCTGTGATATTTCTATCCCCACTTTGGGAAGTTTGTCATTAACGAGGAGTTTTCTCTCGTATCCTTCTGTCCGGAAGAAGTGGCAGTCATTGTGTGACCATCCATTTGAGAAGATCGGAAGTATCACTGTGCTGGAGATGTTGATGGCATTGTCCGTGAACCCGCAGTATAAGTCCTTGGTTGCTTTGTTCACTGAATAAACTTTTAGATAAGGATCCTGTAACTTCAATTCTTGTATATCGTTCTTCTTGACAACATTGACCGGGCTGGTAGAGTCTACTTGGATGTTTAAAATTACTTGGTTTTCCTTCCCGAGGCCAATATTTATTAGTTTCTTAAGTTCTTTTCCATCATTGTCGAAAACTGTAGTTACAATTAATACAGAATAATTGTCGTTTTCATTTTGTCCAGATTCCGACCATGCATTGGTCACGCCACAACATTCTCTATTTACATGGTCCAAATTTAAACCGGATGATCCGACGGAATATATTCTGCATTATCTACTGTTTGAGATTTTACAATGTTTACTACTTTTTTACGACAAGATTTACAGAGTCTGGTGAAACGGCCTTTATATTTACAGGATGTACAAGTTGTGTCTTTCGCTGGACAAACAACAAGGTGTCCTTTTAAAAAATTCCAGCCACATTTTATACAGATATTGCTCCGTTCAATATTTAGGGTTGGTTCTCTTTTGACGTTAAAAGGGATGTAAGATTTGTTTACGGATGATCCGTTGGATTTAAAACTATTTGTTGTTTTTAAATGGTTGGAAATTTTTTTTTCATCGATCAGGGCAACGTTAAGTGTTTCCCACGGTGGTAAGGTTTCGGTCAGGTGTTTTCGTTGTATATCAGACTTTTTCATTTTATTTATGAAAATTTCCCTGATCCATTCGTCCTCTCCGGCGGCTATGTCACACTTTTTAGCCATTTCAGCTAAAGCTCCCCAAAATTGTTCTATTGACTCTTTGTCTCATTGTTTTTGTTTAACAACTTGTGCCTTTTGAATGTGACTTTTATTTTCTTGACGAAAGTGGTTGCTAAGTGTTCCCAAAACTCTTTGAAAGAATTTTGAAGTATTTTTACCTTATGTGAACTTCTGCCCAAAGATTCGTTTTCCCTCGTTTCCTAGGGCTAAATAGAGGATTGAACGTAGTTTCTTGTCGGCTTCCTCTATTCTCATTCCATTGAGTTTCTTGATTTTGGATTTAATAGATGCCGCTTGCTCGTCGTCGTAACGTTTTTGTTCTGGGATATTTCTCTCTAACCTAGTTTTTCTTTTGGAATTACGATTCGGTTTCCGTCGGTTTTCCAGTTTTGGTGGACGAGGATGGTGTCTTTCCGATGGGCTTAGAAGATTCTCAATATCTACATTTTCTTTCGCGATGATTGCTAAGTGAAAAAGATCACTCCAATCTTCCCAAGGGATAGGTGGGTTCACTGTGTGGTTCTGCCAGAGTGGAGGTATTACTCTCATGCTAGATTCGTTATGTGACTGCGCCATGATAAATGTTATTTTTTTGCAGCTAATTCTACTTTATACAGTTAAGAGCATAAAAGGATAAAAGTGAATTTGTCTTAAGTTAAAACATTAAAAAGTGACGAAGCATTCTCTCGGCCGGAGATAATGAAAGAGTGAAGGTCAGACATAAGTGACCTGTTAGATTGATTACATAAGTCATTAGTTGAGCTAGAATAGACATCTAGACTAGTGTGAGTAGACACATGGTGAGAACTTCATGGATGTCTCAACAATCTCCTAAGTACCTATTAACGAGTTAACTATTTAAAAAAGTGAACGGTTCAGCATGTGCGAGTTCTGTACCAAGCAACGAAGCCCCACCCCTTTTGCAAAGGGGGGGTAGTTAAAGAGATCAGAACTGCATTATCCTACCTGGAAGCTGCATGCTCGGAATCAGTACCCGCGACAGCTAGTACATGCACTTCCCGGTGATCGTTGGAGAGGGTGGGTCTCTTGGCGAAGTTCTTACTCCTCAGTAGGTGCCGCTCCTTCTTGCTCAAACTCGTCTCCATTTCAAAAAAAAAAGATATACTATTCCCGTGGCATTAAAGAAATAACCAGTTCGACATAAGAGTAGAGAATTAGAAAGAGCAGAAAATCGTAAACTATCAACTTCAAGCTTAATTCCAGCTTAAATTTTAGGAGCCAAACTTTTGCTGTAAGCTGCAGAGTTAACCCCTACTTTAGCATTCATAAATGTGAAAAAAAATTTATTAAAAAGAAAAGGGAGAAATTGTCATGAGTAAGATACAAGCAATTATGGATTTCAATGTCACAGTTCAGTTTTAAATTTCATATTTGATCGCTATAAAAAAACTTCCTGTTGTATATTTCAAGTGCCAATCCATAAATAATTTTTTCTCGACCTGATTATAATTCTCAGCGTTAGTTTATTGGCGATAAAAGCAAGTGCACTAATTTATGAAACAAGCAATTTAGGCCGGATTGTAAATGTGATCCCACTTTATTGCATATTTCTACATGCAGCGGATGTCAGGATTAAGGGTTCTTTTGACCATTTAGAACAAGAGATTATCAAAACTTCATTCCTTATACTGACAGTCAGTTTGAATTGGTAGTTCGCATCAGAAGCCTAACGCAGCGCCAGTTACATAGAGGGTAACTAACAAGACTATCTGATTGATTTAAAAGTTACACAGAATGTTCCGAAGACTTTTCCAATGTTCATGCTAAAGGAAACTTAAAATACTCTTACAAGTCAAACGTCAAAATTGAGTTTTGTCGGTTTTTTTAACCACATTAACTGTTGTGGAGTTTTATGAAATTTTTAGAAAAGATTTTTTTTTATTTTAAATTAGTGAGACAAACCAACTGAGCTAAACTCATTATCAATATACTATAAAAAGACCAACTTGAGTCGGTCGAAACATCCCGGGTTTCACTTGACACAAAAAATTGAAAATATTGAAAAGTGTCGTCGGGGAATTTTCGGCGTGTCAGGGGAATCCCTTTGTCCTCTACTGTCAATCAATTTTTGCTTTTTATTCTATTAATAAAAACTTCTTGCTTTGGTTTTATCGAAAAGCTACTTGTCAATAAATGATATTAGCCCTCTAATGATGAAGAATGACATTTGTTATTATTGGGGGCATGGGTCGTTTTGGTTTGGTTGTCGGTTCATGGAAGCAAACACGTAGTCTGATTCTGAAGTTTTTTATAGAAAATTTGGCAGAAATGATCCTCCACCTGAAACGTGCAACTGAGTAGGAGTCATTATAATAAACCAAAAGTTTTAAGGGCTGCAAAGAAATAGTTTTACTCTGACTAACTAATTTTTTCTGCCAAAGTTTCACTTAGCGTTTTCTTAAATACCTTGGCAATAAAAGGTATTTAAAGAATCAAACTCAAAGTTTTCTCAATAAAGTTTTTTGTCTTTTTTCAGGAACCTCAAAAATTTATCGAAATGGGTTGAGTGATATATCATATTAAAGCCCTTTCAGTGTCGAGAAAAACCTATTTAAAATTTTTGATTTTTGATTTAATTTCAAGCTAAAAAGGTTAGATCCTAAGCAGGCTTACAGAAGCTTATTTATGCCTAATTTAAGCCATGAAAACTTAGTTTTACAAGAGTAAAGTTTAATTTTGGAGTTTTTTTAGCATTGGGGAAAAAATTCAAAGTTCAAAACTTTATTTTGAATTTTATAAGAACTTTTTGCTATTCTTGTCTTTTTTCTTAAAAACTGTTTTCTAAATTTACCTATTTTACTTTGACTGTCCAATATGTCAGAAATTCAAAAATGACACAAAATTACATTTTTTTAATGTTGAATTTTAGTTAAATAATTAAATAATTTGTCAAGGAAAATTACTACAAAGTTCTGACGCAGAAGCAAATTAGAAAATTTTGAAACCTTTTTCATCACTAGAACAACTTAAGAATTAGAAATCACAGCCCAATTCTATCAAATTTGAAATAACTTTGTTTAAGAACAAATTCAACATAAACTCATTTTAAAGTTAAGATAGGTAAGGTTTTAAAACATTTAAACGAAACGTGTTTAGAAAAATTTAGCAAAAAATTACGATTTCATCAAAAAAAGTATTGATTAACTCTTAATAGATTTAGATAACTGATTTTGGTTTTGAAATCTTACAAAAACTGATAAATCTTTGACAAACACCTAGGGTAGAATCTAATATTGGAATGTTTTCATAAAAATTTAGGAAATTTTGCTGATATTCATGATGTAACTTGACTTTTTTGTTGAGTAGAAATCTTCTTGAATATAAAATGAGCTAATTTTATATTTAAACAGTGAAAAAGTGAAAAATTTTCATTAGATTATGCAATTTAAATGAATGGTTTGTAATTTTCAAAAACATGACTATTCTGACAATTTTCCGAGTATTCGCAAGTTTTAGCAGATATCAGCAAAGTATATCATGAATCTTCAGAGTTGCGCTTATATTTGATTTTGTTTACCAACTATAAATATTCTTGGACAGAAAATGAGTTAAGTATAATTATAAAGTAAAAACATTAGAAATTTTTTGATAGATACTCATACTAAAATGAATGATTTGTATGATTTTTCTGAAATATGACTGTATTTGAACGTTTTAATGATTTCAGCAAAATTTGATCTTCAAACCACGTCATTTTCAACACTTTCCAAAAAATGATTTAGTTTTAGAAATTTGTCACCTTAAGTTTAACTTTCATGTTACAAAGTGACAAGAAACTCATTTTTCTGAAAAAGCTCATACCATTGTCTTAGCATGTTACCACAACCAATCAATTTTACTTTTATTCTAAAACTACACGTAACACACCATTGATATTTACAAAGTAGATGACGCGCTCCCAAAAAAAAATCCAAAAACATGAAATTTGTACACAGAAAAAAAATTGAATTTTTAAACCCTTTTCTTACATGGTACTTACACTGAAACAACAATTTTTTTTCCTTTCTGAAATCATTACAGACTCTATACCCAAAATAGGTTCATAGCATGAGAACTCTATAAAGTATGTTAATACATGAGGTTTACCAATCATCCCCTGATCATTTTCAACATCTACTGCTCCGACAAATGAAAAAAAAAGTTTCTTTTTTTATCGATATATATTTTTAAAAATTTAATTCTGTTATTCTGTTCATTTTGAGTTTATTTCAGAAAATAAACAAGACTGCTCATATCAGAGCAACGCTCTGAATGTTTGGACTGCCTCGTAATGTCTATTGACTAGCGGTCGTTGGTAAAGTTTTTAAAAAGAGAAGTTTTTTGCAGTTTGATTTTTTAACTCTCTTACTCCCTCACACAAAATTTAATATACTGAGTGATATTTTTTTAAAATAACCATATGTTTATCAATAAATACTTTATCATTGTTGTCAAAAGTCGTAACATAACATTTAGAATTATAAAACGAGGTGAATCATGGTTTTTAAATTGTTTTCAGGAAAAAATTTATTATTTTTCTGTTGAAAAAGAATTTGAAAGTTTATCGAATTATTCGGCACTCATTGATGGCTGGTGGCTGAGGGGAATCCTCTAAAAGTAGACAAGATCTAAGGGAAGAAAAATCCAACATTTTTGAATTATACGGGAATACGAGCAATCGAACTAATTTTCATACCTCCCACAGTATAAAACTGTGTATTGCTCAAAGAACCTAGGCAAAAAATTGTGACTGCAGCAGATGCACCAGCAAGGTTGTCCACAGAGATATAATTTCTTCAGAAAAAAAAGAACCGGTTGCCGCCGAGAATCGGCAACGAGTGGATAGAATGCTCAACGGCTACCTTAAACCAACTTTCTGCTAAATACTGCACGCCGATTTTCCCGTGTCAATCTTACTGTTTGCTCTTCCCATTAAGCACTTGGGCCATTCTGAATAATGCGCCGCCTCTCCAGCACAGACAAAACTGATTTGTTACAAATACATGTTAAACATACTGGTCATATGAATCTTAACCCAACATTACTCTCGATATACTCAACCGTGGAAACAATCAATTATTTGAAACGCATTGATTAAATTCTTCTTCTTCTGCAAATTAGTTGAAAAATTTTATACACAGAGACGAAATGAATCTTTGCATAGTTTGCGATGAGCAAAATAAGACAGAACAATAAAGAGCGTAATAAGTTGACGGTGAAAAAAAAATAGCAGCAAATTTTCAAAAAAAAATCGAAATTTTCTAAATTAGTTTAAAAAACTTATTGAATTACGATCCCGTCATTTTCTGACCCTTAGAGTTAAGAAAAACTTACTTGACAAAATTACACTAAGGGTGGCTGGCTATTTTGGGCTCTGACAACTACACCGACTAAAGTTCAGCAGAAAAATAGTAGTCAGACAAATATAACAAACAAATTAAAACAAACACATCCCGACCGGATTCGGACGCTATATCCACGTTAAACGGGCCGTATTGCCTATACAAACTGAATATTCTGCTTGTAAAAGTGAGAAATCAATTTTCTATACCGTCGTGAATTGCAAAACCGTCAAGAAACTTACATCTTTTTTCTATCTTTTCGAGAGCAAAATTTTCGATTTAAATTGAAAGCACCAGCGGACTTAACGGGGGCGGACCCCCCTCTCAGGAATCAACCCCCCGCCGACCCAAAGAGTCTCTCAATTGTACTAATTTGAGATATTCAATTTTGGTTGACGGACCTTAAAATTTTTCTAAAGCGCCTTCGCGCCAAAATTTACTAATTTTGAGGGCGAAACGCGCGCCAAAAAACGCAACTTTTTTAGTCAAAACTTTCCAAAACGTGCATAAAAACGCCTTTTTTGGCCTTTGCTTTCAAAATTTTTAAGAACTATGTCAGCTCTGATGATGCGCCGACGTAGTATTGTCTCCCGGGTTAAGATTTTTACAAGTATTTTTGAGACCCAAACAGTTGAACGATGACTGAAATTTCAAAAATTACAACAGTTTTTCACTTGAGGGATCAAAAGCAAAAACTATTTTTGATTTTTTTTAAAAAGCTCATCAAAGTTTTTTAAAAAACACAATGTGACTGCTTTGTAAAATTCAACAAAACTTAAACAAATTTTAAAATCAAACGAGAAGAAGGGTTTTTGTGAGATGAAAAATTAATCTATTGATTCAAAAAGAAGAAATTTGCTTGTGTATGTGTGAGCGTGTGTATGTGTATGTGTGTGTGTGTGTGTGGGTGTTTCTCATAGGATAAAACTCCAAACTCCTCCTAGGATAAAAATAAAAACAAATCTGAAGTTTTACTTGAATGTGAATATGGGTACGAGGAGTGCTATAGTCTATTTGGTTCGTTGAAAAATGGCAGCAAGGAGTAAACATCGATGTAGAGACTTCTGCGTTAATTTTGTAGTTCATTTCTCATAGAAGTTTAGAAATGAGCACTTGCATTTAATGAATAATTTTATTTTTTTCACACTTATTTAAGACCAACTATACTTTTTTTTTCTTACAAATGACTGAGATAAATGTTAAATTTTGAATTGCACGCACTTTCTTGCAAATTAGTAGCATTTTTAACCCTTTTTTACTTATTTAACTATTACATGTAATTTTGTACCGTTTCAGCGAGCTAAATCAGATTTAAAAATGAGATTGACAAATAAAAATTCGAAAAAAAAAATAAAAACAACTTGAAAAATAAATTTTCTTAAACAATTAACAAAAAGCCTGACTTAGATGCGTGAAAATCCCCTTCGTTCATTAACACTTATGAAAAAGTCTTCCAAAGTTGGAACCGTTCCGGTCTTTTTACGGGGCTCGATCCTCATTTTTAGGATCAGCAGCCGGGCGGGCCCAACCTGACTTTCAGAAGAGATCACAACTTTCACAGACAGTGTGACTTCAGCAGTGCTGGGCAAATCTAGAGAGCCAAGTGTGCCCTCCTTTCTGCAGCTAGAGTCAGCCAAATCGAAATTCTAGAATTGGCACTAGCCAAGGGACTAAAATTTGACTTTTTAAAACTCACGTAGACCATTCAGTTAGTGGTCCAACAACTAGTATAGTTTATGTGATAGCCTTAAAGTGTCAACAACACAAATTTCTACAGAGAGGCAAAGCGGAGCTTCGCATCATTTAGGATACCACGCCAAAATAGCAGTGGCATCTAGCAGACAGAAAAAAATTGGCCACTAATCTAAAATAAATGAAAAAAAAAACTTTCAAAAACCAAAACTTGCAAAAATTCGAAATGTTTTCTGGAATCAAGTTTTTTTTTCGCATCAAACACGTCCAGAAACGCAAAAAAAGCACCTATCGAAAACTAAAAAATGAAAAAAATGCAAAAAAAAATCTGCATCTGAGCCGACGAAGATTCAATAAATTCCCGTAGAACCAAAAATATAATCATTGTCAAGAAAAATTTTGAACTATGAGTTTTATTCTAAGAACTTTAGCAACTTGTTTGATCCGGAACGAAGCAAAAAATATGCTTCCCTTAAAATGACTCCAAATTACTAAGCCGATAAAATATAAGCCGGAATCATTTGCACCGAAGATACTTTTTAAGCGAAAAAAAAACATCAAAATGTACGAAGTGAAGGCTTGTAAAATTAAAAACTGCAGAAGCATCTCAAAATACTGAAACAACTACATTGAAAACCGCAATCAAAAAAAGTCAACTCTATGATGTGACAATTTAGCGAAAAAACAAAAGGAAACAAAGTACAGGCCGACAATTTTTGGAAAGGAAAATTTCCACTTAGAAAAAAGAACAGTTCCTGATCAGGTTCGAACCCACGGTTTCAACCGTCCCAGGCGTATATTTCACATAGAGCCTCAGTGCTGGACACGCATAGAGTTTTGAATTCATTTTGAACCAGGACACAAGTTCAAATGAAAAATTTTATCACGTTTAAGTTCTTTGAATTTCAAGATTTTTTAAGAGTTTTTTTGAAGTTTTTTCAATAAAAAATTTTGAGTCATATCTAAACTTTTTTGATTCTGCTCAAGTTTCAGAAATTTAAAGTTAGTTATTGAAACAAGTTTATCTCGTTACCTTTCAATGTTACCTTCACGCTTGCGCTATACGATACAGGTGTTTATCATCATTTTAACAAAGGAATTGAATTGAATTTAAAGACATCATTGGTCAAACGCCAAAAAAATCAAATTTGAACGTGAACAAAACTTTCCAGCGAAAAATTAAAAAATCATCGCGACTTATGTAAGTAGTGACTCTTTGTTCAGTTACAAAAAAATGGTATCGAGAAAACTAAACAGGCAGATTTTAATACCAGTAATTCGAATTTTGTTATAATATATTACTAAAATAGGTCAAGAGGGTAGCTGAAAAAATTGTTCGGTTGTCAGGGAATGCTGCCTCGTAGGTAAACCTTCCTCGCATACTTGTACACAGAAGCGAAGTTCCACTTCGCATGCACAAGCAAAATTATGACTGATAACGCAACTGGGAAAAAATGAATGATTAAAACTTCCTTTGTTTAACCTAACGACAATTCAGAAAAACCGTACCGTTACGTTAAATAAAAATCATTCCAATAATTCTGAATTTATTTGAGTTTTTCCTTTTTTTGCCAACTTTTGAAAAAAAATATCCGGATTAAAAGCAAATGTGCCCACTCCCAGAAAATCATTAGTGTCATTTAATATCACTACTAGCCGTGTTTTTTTGGCATATTGTGTACTTTCAAGCAAGACAAAAATTACAATTTCAGGTTGCACCATATTGATGTTTTTTTAGTTCCTCCTGATAAAATGATTGCAAAAGAGTAAACTATTTTGATTAATCCTCATTTAAACCCATGCATAAAACAACAAGTCGAGGGCAATTTTTTGGGCAGTAAGAAAATGCAAGACTTAATGTCAATGCCATCCAAAAATTGTTCCGTTCATGCCGTTCTCCTCATTTCAACTCAGTTTGCACGTTAAAAACATCGAGTATCAAAAATTAAATATTAGTTATCTTTCGTTCCAGCAACCAGCAAATTATTCACCAAATGCATCAAACAAAAGCAACGATTTATTGTCTGAAAAGTCAGAACTAAAGTAATTCCTAAAATCTTCACCATTTATAACAATCAACACAACAAATTAACACGGTCGAAGATTTCAGCTATTGCAAATCTATAAACTAAATTAGCAAAATCAACAAGGTTATCAATAAATTTTACATAAAAGACGATGATGTTTGTTTGCAGATGAAACTAATTCATTTAGAATTTGATTGTGAGAAGCTCTGTTAGACGATTTCAAGCTTCAAAAACAACAAGTTATATTTTTGGAAAGCTAGTGATCTGATCACCAAGTAATTGCTTATTGCACGCTAAACTACGAAGCTGATTTGCCCACTGAAATTGATCAAGAATGAAAACAAGTCTCGATTATATTTTTACAGAAATGTTGATCGTGAGCAATCGGCCAAATGGACGTTAGGCAAAGAATGTTATTAGATTCGCACCAAGATGAGCGGATGAGCCTGATATGGAATGATGCACGGACCATTGAGCTCAATAAATTATAGTTGAAAAATTGTATCAAAGCAACAACGATATTCGATTTTTTGCTCACAAACCGTATATGTACTACTTGTTCAACACAACAAAAACTCAGAAAAAGATCTAAAGGCACCATAATTTTGATTTAGCAGGTGGTTAATGTAAAGCACACCGTTGGAAAAACAACAACAAATATCATGGCATTTAATTAACTAAATAATTACTATATGTACTGTAAGTCAACCAAAAAATCAGATCAGTACGTTGTATTGTTGTACGGAGAGATCGAGTTCTCAAATTTGATTGGTTGATCAATGTACCAAATTTGATTGGCTCAAAATTTTCATTTAGTTTTGAAAGCAGCTGATTGAACGACCTGGCTCTCCAATATAATTGAAGATTGATCGTTTTTAGGATGATGCGATTGGCTGATTGAGTTTTTTCTCGACCTTGATTGGTTCAGGTGGCGACTGCGCATCATGGCTGAATAAGTTATGGCGGCACCAGCTCACTAACTGTGTGAGGTTGGCGTTTGGTTATGAGTTTGGTTATGATTGTGATTTGCGTTCGGTATGTTTGCAATCTGAGTTTGGGTGGCCAACGGGTTTAGGGGGTTGCTCATCATTTTGGGCCGGATGAGGTTGATGACGGCGTTGCAGTACTGAATGAAGGGTTCAGGTTGACTCTGGATATTTACTGTATAGCCACATTCATTATCCACAGTAGCGTAGAACTCTGAAAACGAGAACAAAAATAACACATGCGAAGCTTAATAATTAGCTTTAAAGACTGCATTGCCAACATTGCCTTCATAAACTGTGATCGATTTAAATTTGCTTGCATTTATATTCGTATTAATCAAATTCATTAGAACTATTAATAAACTTTTAGAGCATTCAACAGAAACTCGAAGAAGCATAGTTCACTCACTTGCTACATTCGGTCTTTTGAGCAGTAGTGCCGCCTGGTCCCAAGTATCGTGTGCAGTGATCAAGTGTTGGGAGTAGTCCACGTAATTCTCAAACACAGCATACATATCCATAGGAATGTGCACCTGGCCCACTGATCCTGTGGCCGACCCGCCCTGAGCATTGTTGCCGCTTCCATTGCTTCCGAACGAGGCCACACTCTGAGTCGGAGACTCCGGTTCCAGTCTTCCTCCGTTGCTGCTACTGTGCCCGCCATTGATCTTTCGCTGAAACGAACCAGTTATTTACTGAATTGCGAAAAAATTGCGGCACGTATGGCTTTTATTTTAACTTTTTCAGCTTCGCTTATAAGCCCTGAATATAAGTGGCGTGAGTGCCAATGAAATCTTTTTATTGCACCAAAGAAACAGTAAGGATTCGGACGATCAGTCATGACCCAGGATTATTGGACTTCATGCGCCGGAGTATTTTTTTATATTTACTCGCAAAAGATCCTCACTAAAATGAAATTTAGATTATCAGGGACAAACTAGAATGATAAGCTGATTTTTGCTGCAGGTAACTTACGTCTTTGATGAAATCGTTGAGTGTTCCCACGGAGCGCACAGTTTGCTCTTTGCGCACGTTGAAGGCCTGCATCTCGAAATACCCCCTGATCTTCATCAGCAGCACACACACTATGTCTATCCTGTCCTGATTCAGAGCCGCACTCTGATACTTCACGTTCAACTTCATCGCCACACTGAACAAAACACTTATTCATTCATCAAAATTCAGCCACAAGGAACAAGCCAACCAAGGCCCATCCTATTCCATGTCACCTCATACTGTGCGATTTTGCAAATAAGTTAGTTCTAGTCAAATTACCCAGCTTCAATTGCCAAATATGAACCACATTCACGCCAACTTATCCACACCATGTTATACCTATCTTTTGCATACACATACTTTCAGTAAAACGTTACATTATATATTGGGACCAAAAACACCTAAGCCCCTTCCTATATTGCAAAAGCAGGTCCCTAATTCAAACAAAAATACGCTATGAAGTGGGGTTCAAATTGCTTGAACCGTCGATCCTCAATATTAATGGAGACGGAATATTTTGTTTTGTTTTTGATCAACCGATATAAGAGTCAGTAAAAAAAGAGATCAGACAGGATAAACTTATAGTGAAATGTTCTATTGATTCGGTTGTAATTTGAGTTCAGATTTGTCAGGTTATCATCAGGTTAATAGTAATCAGCACAGCACTGCATGAATTTAGAGTAGTAATTGTACCAATCACTTCGATTCGAGTAATGATTGTTTGATAAACTATTTTGTATATATGGTATGACACCATCATGACTTTTGTCATGCTTTTATCTTACATTCTCAATTATTCAGTCCTCCAATCGAAACAGTAAAGCGGCATGTTTTCTCAATTTAATGTAACTTGTAGTATAACTAGTGTTCTGCAGTTCAATCAAAATGGCTGCCTTTTGATTTGCATTTTGCATCTAAATCTAATTCACTTTACCATCTTACCAAGCTTTGTTTGCCATTTTATCTAATTAGGTCGCTGCTGTTTCGCTGTCATGAGTGAAACTGGGTGACCTTAGCTTCTTTTTTGCACATTGAAAAAAATTGATGTCATTCGGAAAAGAGAAGAAAACGGTATTTCAATTGCGCATCATTATTTGTCTTTTACGGACCTTAGTCTAGTCTGATTTAGTGCATCAATTCTTAAAACCCTAACTAATATCTCACTTTTACAAATCATTCTGGTAAAAGCATCCAAAGTGCAAAAATTAGAAAAATCGAGAAAGCAAGCCGAAAACTAACATAACAGAAAATCGAAAAATTAATTTAAATAATAAAACAGCGACTGAAAAAACTTGGATCAATTGCCCATTGTTTTAGGCTTATTTTGCAACTAGTTAATTATTTCAAGTAGACACGACGTTACAACTATTTTAAAAAAGACAAATTGTATGCAATTAAAATCAGATGTTGAAAGATCAATTGAAAATGTCCATGTTCATATTGTACTGAATGAAAAGCACGTGATGATAGATGAAGAAAACAATAGGCAGACTGTCAAAAATTAAAGTGACATTAAATTAGCAAGAATGCATTTTAAAATGGTTCGAAATGAACTAATGGATATCTCTTGATAGACTCTCTAGAACTTGACGGATTATTGCGTCTATCTTTGGATGGTTTTTAGAGTTATTACATATAAGGTCATATATGTTTCGACGAAAAAAAAATTTAATTGTACAAACTTATTTCAGCTCCGCGTAATTATACAAACTATAAACAAGGATAGCCGGTTACTGCGCATTTAGCACAGAATGTTCCGACCAGTCTTAAAAAATTTTTAAAAAAATTCTTCAAAATATGGTCGTTTTTTCGAGGTGATGTGAACAAAAAAAACAGAGGATTAGGTATATTCGATATTCATAATAAACTAAGCAAATTGAAAAAATTTTTGTAGAAAAACGAGAAAACGAAAAACATCACCTTTTGTTTTGACGTCACCTTTTGTTTCAATGCGTATTGCGTATCTTTTTTGATTGAAAATATCGCAGTTTGTTTGTCTCCAAATAATGGCAAATACTGTCAAATTGGGGCAAATAAAATGTAATAGCCGAGTACTGACAAACAAATAGTGTAATAGTACCAAGTGTAATAGAGGAGTACTGACTTGATGATGCCTTTGATCTCCTTGGAGGTGAATATGTGGTATGCCCTGTGCACGTCATTCGAGTGGAGACATGCAGTGGCATAGGAGATGTAGTAGATCACCGCCTGGGCATAATCCAGACTGGACTGCAGTGTCTTCGCACACTACAAACAGAACAGACATGAGATGGACAAAAGATTGACAAAGATACAAATTACTGTGACTTTAACTGATTAAAACATCTCACCCGACCTAAGAAACTACGAATTATCTTCCTCCCCATAAAACAATCATTTTAACTGATTTTCGTTCCTATCTTATTGTTACTAGAGCATAAGCAAAATATCATTAAAACCATAACTTCATTACTGTTTGATGCTCAAAATAATCGAAGCACCTTATGGCGGCCTCATAAAATTTGAACCTCCAAATCAATACACGATCAATCTTATCTTAAGTGCCATGTCATGCATTTATATTAAACCGATACACACTTGTTATCGCATACTAAACTACCATGACCAATTTGATTGCACCAATCTGAATGAGCAGTACTCTTCAAGTAGAGTTAGAATTACAGTTAATGTTAGTATTAGTTGACATTTGAATGCGAGGTGTGAAGTTTGCCAACTATGTATCTCTGTCACAATAAACCCATTTATGTTGCATGTATTTGTAATTTGAGTTGTAATAAAGGCTACGTGGCTTACCGTATCTGCTTTCTTCTTGTATATCTTGGCCTGCTCGATGTAGAACGACTTCCTGAAAAAGTCTGCGGTAAACACGGCGGGAAGTGGCATCACTAACTGTTTGAACTTATTGTTGAACTTACTGGTTTTGAGGAAAAATAATACAAATTATAATTATGAAGGCTTCTGGCCACTTTTTTCAACTATGACGAGAATTTTGGTTTCGATATGGAGTGTTGCAAGTTAATTAAAATAAAACTATAATGAATTGTAAAAGAGATTCACAAATTTTTTCTTAATTGCGTCTTTTTGGGCAGGTGCATTTGCGTCATTTTTCAGATTTTGCACCCACTACAAAACTCAACTTTGATTTCAGTGCTGGTCTCAATTACCAGTTGGCCGCTTCTTAATTTAATCTCGTTACATAAATTGGACGCAAATGCGAGGGAGCGACTGAAAGGATTACTTCCTAAGTTCCTTTTCGGCACTTCAAAGCGCTTCACCGTCATACAGCAAGTCTAACACTCAAAATGTCTTACGTCAACAAAGTTCTGCTTTAATGCACCTAATGATGTCAAATGATAAATTTATTATACTCGGTCTGAATGATGATACAAGATGAAGCATAAAAAAATAATAATACCTCAAACCAAACTGCATATATATTTTGTATAAAACTTAAGATCATCAAGAGCAAGTTGAGCATACAAATTGCAACCCGTTTGTTTCATAGTGCAAATAGAGCTCAAAGAAATCAATTGTGCAGCAGCAGGGGTAAATTTCACCAGCGTTAAGTTTTTCGCAGCAAATTTTAGACAGCAACTTCCTTTTTTTTCAATCTGTGTTGAGCTAATTGAAAAAATCAATTTTTATAAAGGTCCAGAATTCTAAATTAAGGTAATCGTTCAAGTTTTGGCAGTTTTAACGAGAAAATCAATTTAGAAAGCAGTTAACTCAGTTTCATCGTAAGATTAAGTATAGCCAACAGACCGTTGGAAAAGATTCAATGAACGCAAGTAAACCAAAAAAAAATGACTTGTGTTGTTTTTCAAAAAACGTTGACTTTCGAATTTCAACGAAAGAAATAGATGCACTTAAAAATCTTTGAATTTCTACAACAGTTTATGAACAATTTCTTGATAAAATTAACTCAATTTGAGAAAAATGGATTAATTAGTAAAATTTGAATTTTGCTCGTCGCTGACTTTTACACTAAACTTGCTGTTTTATAGTGCAGTTTGCCTTCCTTTTAACAAAAGAAATGAACTTAAAAATTAAACCGCTTCATTTAGAGCATTTATTACGTTCATCGACTCTAAATATGTTGATAAAAATGAACTACTTACAGCCCGGTGAGCTCTTGTGCTTGTGCGCTTGTTGAGTTTCCAGGCGTGCTTGGCTGAACAGCAGAGGCAGTGTCCAAGGAATTAGGAGTCACTGGCGGGGCGTGGGGACCGGGCGTTCCTGCTTGGGTTGCGGCCTGCGGCATACTTCTATTTGCTAGATTATTGCTGCCACCATTGGAAGATCGCGCACCAAACAGACGGCTGTTTCCGACCGAGTCCTCTGAGGCCATCTCGGATCCACTGAAATTGCTAAAAACCAAAACAAAGATAAACTAAGAAATAAAATTTACAAAAAACTTAGGTCATCGAGCAGGAAATTTCGGCAAGTTGGGCGATGAACTTTTAAATTAAATAAGGACAGGATGGTAATTCAATATCAATCTATGATTCCAGAAAAGTGTTGCCATCTCAAACACGAGTCCATCGCTTCTATGAAATGAAGTTAGGCTACTAAGTTACGAATAACGTGTTTTTCAAGAGAAAAATGATACACTAGAATGAAGTGATTAAAAAGGCAGAAAATGCAGATTGACATAAGATCGATTACTTTTCAACAACTTTTTATCATTGATGTTGCAAAAAAATGTCATCTCATCTCAATTCGTTTGAACCTACTTTATGAAACCAGTACCTGTTACTGAAGGAATCATTATCCTGACTGGGAAACATTGGCGAGGCAGAGGCGGCCATATTGACCCCAGAATGCCCTCCAACTCCACCCGCACTATGTGCCGAAGACACTCCTGACACCGATGACGAAGAGACACTTCCGGGATTCATGGATACCTCAGCAGTCTCCGGAGGAATTGGTTCTTGCCTGAAATTACACCGCTGACTATCGCAACTGATGATGGAACTAGGGGCCCAGCTGAAAGCTGGAGAGACCTGTTTGATTATTTTAATATTGATTATTTTAAAATTGTTTTAAAATTTCAGGTTTCTCAAGTCGATAGCGCCCTTCCTACGCAAAAAAAGTGAAAGAGAAGCTTATGCATTCATTATGCAAATCTGGATGGGTAGTTTTTGAAGAAATCGAAAAAGTTTGAAAAAATGGCCTAAAAACCGAAAAATTGACTATTCCTAAGTGTATAGCTCTTCCCCTAGACAAATTAGGGATGAGCCGTTTGTGTAGGGGGGGTTCCTACAACCTGGTCTATCGATTAAACCCTTAATCCCAAATCTGGACGGGTAGTTTTTGAGGAAATCGGAAAGATTTGAAAAAAAGGCCAAAAAAGTCAAAAAAGTGACTTTTCCTAAGTCTATAGCTCTTCCCCTAGGCAAGTTAAGGACCAGCCGCTTGTGCGGGGGAGTTTACTACAACCTGGTCTATCGATTAAACCCTTAATTCCAAATCTGGATGGGTAGTTTTTGAGGAAATCGATAATTTCCGAAAAAATAGGCAAAAAAATCAAAAAAGTGACTTTTCCTAAGTCTATAGCTCTTCCCCTAAGCAAATTAGTGACCAGCCGCTTGGGCAGGGGAGTTTCCTACAACCTGGTCCATCGATTAAACCCTTAATCCCAAATCTGGATGGGTAGTTTTTGAAGAAATCGAAAAAGTTTGAAAAAATGGCCTAAAAACCGAAAAATTGACTATTCCTAAGTGTATAGCTCTTCCCCTAGACAAATTAGGGACAAGCTTGTGTAGGGGGTTCCTACAACCTGGTCTATCGATTAAACCCTAAATTCCAAATCTGGACGGGTAGTTTTTGAGGAAATCGGAAAGATTTGAAAAAAGGCCAAAAAAGTCAAAAAAGTGACTTTTCCTAAGTCTATAGCTCTTCCCCTAGGCAAGTTAAGGACCAGCCGCTTGTGCGGGGGAGTTTCCTACAACCTGGTCTATCGATTGAACCCTTAATTCCAAATCTGGATGGGTAGTTTTTGAGGAAATCGATAATTTCCGAAGAAATAGGCAAAAAAATCAAAAAAGTGACTTTTCCTAAGTCTATAGCTCTTCCCCTAAGCAAATTAGGGACCAGCCGCTTGTGCATGGGAGTTTCCTACAACCTGGTCTATCGATTAAACCCTTAATCCCAAATCTGGACGGGTAGTTTTTGAAGAAATCGAAAAAGTTTGAAAAAATGGTCTAAAAACCGAAAAATTGACTATTCCTAAGTGTATAGCTCTTCCCCTAGTTAAATTAGGGACAAGCTTGTGTAGGGGGTTCCTAGAACCTGGTCTATCGATTAAACCCTAAATTCCAAATCTGGACGGGTAGTTTTTGAGGAAATCGGAAAGATTTGAAAAAAGGCCAAAAAAGTCAAAAAAGTGACTTTTCCTAAGTCTATAGCTCTTCCCCTAGGCAAGTTAAGGACCAGCCGCTTGTGCGGGGGAGTTTCCTACAACCTGGTCTATCGATTGAACCCTTAATTCCAAATCTGGATGGGTAGTTTTTGAGGAAATCGATAATTTCCGAAGAAATAGGCAAAAAAATCAAAAAAGTGACTTTTCCTAAGTCTATAGCTCTTCCCCTAAGCAAATTAGGGACCAGCCGCTTGTGCATGGGAGTTTCCTACAACCTGGTCTATCGATTAAACCCTTAATCCCAAATCTGGACGGGTAGTTTTTGAGGAAATCGAAAATTTCCGAAAAAATGGGCAAAAAGTGAAAAAAGTACCGAGTTGTGAAGCTTTTCTAAGACCGTAGGGGGTGGGGTAGGGTAAAAATTGCCCTAAATTTCATGCAGGCAGGTAGGTGAAACGCTACTGAATCCATTGGTACCACTTTTATGAGAATCTGACGGGTAGTTTTTTGGGAAAGCGAATTTTTCGAAAAAGGGTCTCAAAAAAAAAAAAAAAAAAAAAACCAGATCTCATCTGGAAAAAAAAACGTTTTCATAATACCTGTTTAATAAATCAAACAGGAATTATAGAATATTAGAATGAATGGTTTTTGCTCGATAGGTTTTATTAAAATTTAATCAAAACGGGAGCCATAAAACAGAAAAACAACCTGGTTTTAATTGACTTTCAAGTGTAACCAGGAGCAGTTGCAAACCCTTTACAATTCAAAAATCGCGAACAAGGTAGAAAAATCAGACATTGTAATAAATTCAACTGTTTAAAAAATATAGCTTACTTATCCCGTTTTCTACTCTTTTTAGAATCGCTTCTGTCTTTCGAAGAGCCGGCGCGTTTATGTTTCTTCTTCGAGCCACTTTCAGTTGCCGTCTCTCTCGGAGCAGCATGTGAGATTGTGGGAACTCCGTTCTCTTCAGACATCATTTCGTCCTTAACTTCATCACTGATTTGAGGTCTATCTGGAACAACCAACTTCCTCAAATCTAACGCGAACATTAGTTTAGGGATCTTTCTACCAGTTTCGTCTTCTTCAAAAACAGTCTCCTTTAACAAACGAGACGTCTCTTTCCTAGTCTTCGAGTTAGAAGCAGCTGCTGATGCTTTACTATTGCTCGATTTCGACTTCTTCCCTCCTTTCGCGTGTACAGAAACGTCCGTTTTTCTAACGTCGCTTGTTTCGGTGGTTTTCGTTTTTCCTTTCTTGGATTTCTCTTCCTTTGGGTGATCATTATTGGAATTAGTTGGCTCTTTAGCTACAGTGGAGCCAGTGTTTGCTGATGATCGAGGAGTGATGATATTTTTGACACAACCTTTTACTTTGTTAGGCGATATCAAAGGCATGAGTGATGAAACATGCGGTGTATTTCCACTGACATTGCTGGCAGTATTGTCTTGATTTTGTTGCTTCTTCGAGCTAGTTTTACTAAATGGATGAACTGATGCTATTTTGTCTTTATTCTTAGCTGCTATTGCTGCTGTATGTTCTCTTCTCGTGGCCACGATCTTAATCGGAGGCGATGGCGGCCTAGCTTCAATTGATTCTTCTTTCGGTACTGGTGTCGTAGTATTTGGCTTTTTACTTTCACTAGCTTGGTCCGTGTTAAATGATGCTTCTGGGATTTTCTTTGCACTTATAGTACTTTTCTTGCCATTCGAGTCTGCTTCTGTCGATTTGGCTGCTCTAGATCGCGATCCTGCTGAATTTGACCCCGTATTTCGAACATTTGCTGTTTTACTCTTCACTGGCGATGGAGAAGTGGATAATTGCCGGACTCCAAACGACGCTAGACTCCAAGAAGGTCTAGATCCCTTGGCCGGATTCTTATTCGGGGTTGACTCCGAAGCGGAGCTCGATGGTGGCTCCTCGGATGGTGTCTTAATCGGCGGACTCGGTAGCGACTCGGGTTCTGATTTCAAGCTTTGGTCTGCGGCTGGGTTGGACTGCGAGGCAGCGATGCTCGTTTTACTCGGTTCCTCATTTTTAGTCAGGGCGTTCTCCTCAGTGTGGTCTTTATGCGCTTCGTCTTCGGATTGAGAGCTACCGCCTTCATCACTGGACGAGGACGATGACGAAGAGGATGAACCATCGTGCACCTGACCATCATCATCACTATCTATTTCACTATCTGGTTCTTCTTTTGGTAGTTTATTGCTTTCCCTGTAAAAATAACTTTTAAAGGTTCGGTCATTGAACAGAAGGGCCTAGAATACAGCCAAAATGCATGATTTTTTTTGGGCCCTGGACCTCCTTCATGTACCTTAACATAAGTATTAGAAGAACTTTTTGACCATTTTTATTTTAGTCGTTGTTTCGTGGCCACAGCAAGAAAACTGACTCACGGTTGTTCTGCTTTTACATGTGATTGCGACTTCGAAGTGGACTGTCTTGCATGATCAGTGGTGGCATTGTCTCGTAGCGGTAATGTCTCATTGGCAGCATTAGAGTGTTTTACTTGCGACTGTTGAGCTGCAAAGGCTACTTCCTACACAATGACAAAACTTTAAAACATAGCCAATAGACAGTTGGAAAAGAGTCATTGAACGCAAGGAAACAGAAAAAAAAAAGATGTTATTAAAAACTTAACCATTCGAATTTCTAAGTTTAAAGTATATGGCCTTAAAGCTTTTTAAATTTCAAAATAAAACTCATGATTGACACATTTGAGAAAATTAATTCAATTTGAGAAAACTGGATTAATAGGTAAAATTTTCATTAAGCTGGGAAATCTGAAGACTTAAATCCACTTTTGAAACTAGAAGACCATCACGATTATCGAGATCTTTACGCTTTTGCTGTTCGATGGTAACGAACTGAATTTATAAAGAAATCGAAAGTCAAACCATGAAAAATCAAATTAGCGTGAAACAAGACTTTTCCTGAAAAAAAAACAATCATCATTACTTATATAAGAAGCATCACAACATTGCTTAACTCTTAATTACACTTGTTGTAAGTACAAGCTGAAAGAGCGATCTAAAAAACTTTAATCTCACGATATAAAAATGATTAACGATCGTGCTTAAATTTCTTCAAACTTTTTGTAAGAAAATTTTTTCAGAGAATACTTCTAAAAACTTTTATAGACATTTTTAAGAAATGACTTAACTTTAGCCACTTATAAGCTACTGACCTTAGCGGCATGCTGTCTTCTCAATGCAGGAGTGTTGCCCTTGACTGCTGCATGGGGCGGTTCTTCCAGCTGAGGGGAGGCAGGCGGAGGTGCGTAGAGTGCGGAAGGCGACACCACAGATGACTCATCCTCTTCGTCCCCTGTCAACACCACCTCCTTTCCCCCATTGCTGCTTCCACTTCTACACGAGTTATCAAGGCTAAAATTGCAGCAGATTAAATACATACTTCACATGGACAAATTCTGGTTTGAACTTCAGTCGTTCAACCGTTGCTTTAGACCGTAGCATTTAGTTACCAAGAAAATTTAGTTCAAAACTGTCTCAGAGGTGAAACGAAGCTCTTACGCAAAACATTACAAACGCAGCATGGCAAGCAAGCGGACAAAAAATAAGACGAAATTCACAAAGTCGAAAAAAAATTATATAAAAGGCTGAAAAAATCGATCTACCAAAAATTTCATACGTTCGTATCAAGTTCACTTTGAGGAAAACATGACACGAAAGCCAAACCTTGTAAACTGCAGCGGACTTGCGATTTAAGCCAGCAATAATATGATTGCTGGAAACCATCACTACTGGAGCTCCACAATGCACATTAAACTGTTAATACTATGCAGCAAATGTGCTTAACATTACTGGATTTGAAAAAGTGGATTAGAAAAAAGTAAACTGGTACTGAAATAAGCAAGCTTGCATTTAAGAAAATGACATTACAACTCCCCCTTAGCCTAAAATGCTACCAAAACTTTGAGTATACCGTGTCCTAGTGTGCATGGAGGACAGCGATGTACGTTTTTTTTTTACTGTTCAGCAATTTGAACATAAAAAATTCGGCTTACTTAGCTTCCAATCAAAGAAGCTGATAGCTTCAGCAAAAAAGAAAGAACAAGGAAACCGAAAAAAATATTGATTAATATATTTTAAAATTGTTTTAATTTTCGAACCAGGAGCCCAGATAAAGCTCAAGATACCGGTTTGATAATTTTTGATTTTAAATTCTGACGCGGGATGAACTAGCTAATTTGAAAATAGGGAATTGGGCTTCACCCAAACCTTATTTGTTTCTCAGAGTTTTTTTTTGCAGAAATTGACAAATTCCAACAGACAACATTTTTCGTACTTGTTTTACGGTGAAGCCTCTTATGCACTGCGGCTTGCCACAAGCCGTTGCCTTGATTAAACCCTTGATATCAGATGCAGCAGCTAGTTTTCGAGAAGCACTTTTCCTAGAGCTACGACTTTTTGTGTAAACAAAATTGGGTATGGCCATTTAAACAGGGAGGCTTCTCACTTATCCTATCCATTAAACCTAAAACTACAGATTTCAGTGGGTAGTTTTAAAACCAAAAAAATTGGTCAAATATTCCTCAGTTTTTTGAAGACTGTAGAATGGGAGGTATGGTAAAAAAAGAGACTAAAGGAATATGCAGACACATGGGAGTGAGCAGTTTTTCCAATTGTAGCACTTTTTTAAAAATCAACTAGCGTTTAACGCACCTCCGGTGCTTCGAAACTTTTCGACAACTCGTGAAAAACCGCATATATTGGAAACAACATCTGCAAAATTTTAGTGTACTCTGACTGCACCCAATTACAGGGTTGGTAATTTCGAACTTTTTAATTTTTTCAAATTCCCATTTTAAAAGCGTCATCTCGAAAACTTAATGGGCCTCTGGAGAACTTTGGAGACCAGATTTGCAACCACTGAGAGTCCCTGAGAGCACCCTACTATAGGGTTAGGAGTTCCCTAAGTTTCCCAAAAAAAAAATTGAAAAAAAAAACGTCTTATCTCGGAAACTAAAAGGATTTGAGCATTCATAACATAGGCGCTACGCGCAATACACCGAAGGCATAGAAACTGAAGCAAAAACCAAACAGCTTGAACAACTAATAATTGAAGAATAACAGTTCTAGAACAAAAAATCGTACTAATACATGTATACACCAAAATTTTGCTATATCGAGAAAGAGCCTGAAATAACAGTTCTAGAACTAAAAATCGTACTAACACATGTATAGGTTAAATTTTTGATATATCAACGAAGATCATAAAATAACACTTCTAGAACTAAAAATCGTACTAACACATGTATACACCAAAAATTTACTATATTGACAAAGAGCCTGAAATAACAGTTCGTGAGCTAAAAATCGTACGAACACATGTATACACCAAAATTTTGCTATATTGGCAAAGATCATGAAATAACAGTTCGAGAGCTAAAAATCGTACTAACACATGTATAAGTCAAATTTTTGCTATATTGACAAAGATCATGGAATAACAGTTCTAGAGCTAAAAATCGTACTAACACATGTATACACCAAAATTTTGCTATATTGACAAAGATCATGGAATAACAGTTCGAGAACTAAAAATGGTACTACTACATGTATACAATAAAATTTTGATATATTGACAAAGATCATGAAATAACAGTTCGAGAACTAAAAATCGTAATAACACATGTATACACTAAAATTTTGATATATTGACATAGATCATAAAATAACAGTTCGAGAACTAAAAATGGTACTAACACATGTATACGCTAAAATATTGCTATATTGACGAAGAGCCTGAAATAACAATTCTAGAGCTAAAATCGTACTAACACATGTATACACCAATATTTTGCTATATCGACAAAGAGCCTGAATAAACGTTGTAGAACTAAAAATCTTACTAACACATATATACACCAAAATTTTGCTATATTGACAAAGAGCCTGAAATATTGACAAAGGACCTGAAATAACAATCGTAGAACTAAATGTCGTACTTACGCATTGTAGATCAATTTCTATAGCTATAATAAAATACAAAAGATTGTGTTTGTATGTGTAGCAAAACGCCTCCTGTTTTACACCTAATACAAGTATACATAGACCAGTTAATTGAAACTACAGTGTACCTATTACAAGTATACACAGATCAGTTAAACTAAAGAAACTGTGTACCTAATACAAGTATACACGATCAGTTGATTGAAACTACAGTGTACCTAATACAAGTATACACAGCAGTTGAAATAGAAAAACTGTGTACCTAATACAAGTATACACAGACCAGTTGATTGAAACTACAGTGTACCTAATACAAGTATACACAGCAGTTGAAAAAAAACTGTGTACCTAATACAAGTATACACAGACCAGTTGATTGAAACTACAGTGTACCTAATACAAGTATACACAGCAGTTGAAATAGAAAAACTGTGTACCTAATACAAGTATACACAGATCAGTTGATTGAAACTACAGTGTACCTAATACAAGTATACACAGCAGTTGAAATAGAAAAACTGTGTACCTAATACAAGTATACACAGACCAGTTGATTGAAACTACAGTGTACCTAATACAAGTATACACAAAAGTTGAAATAGAATAACTGTGTACCTAATACAAGTATACACAGATCAGTTGATTGAAACTACAGTGTACCTAATAAAAGTATACACAGCAGTTGAAAAAAACTGTACTTAATACAAGTATACACAGACCAGTTGATTGAAACTACAGTGTACCTAATACAAGTATACACAAAAGTTGAAATAGAATAACTGTGTACCTAATACAAGTATACACAGATCAATTGATTGAAACTACAGTGTACCTAATACAAGTATACACAGCAGTTGAAAAAAAACTGTGTACCTAATACAAGTATACACAGACCAGTTGAGCTGCTGGCAGAAAATCATACAGTCACTAGCTAAAACTTTGTAACCACCTGTTCAGAATGGCAAGGGAAGAATTGAAAATGTTTTTTTTAAGAATTAAGGTGTAAAATTTATTGGTCGTACATTAAAACAGATTGTAAATTCTTAAAACACGTAGTCCAAAATGCTCGTACTCTTCGACGTGACCTGCATTGTCAACTGTGACCCTCTAAGAGAATGAATAATGCAGTAATGGTTATTTGTCGACACTTGACAACAGACAACATTTTAAAAAAAAACCCCGTTACACGATACCATAACACCTTGACTAAAGTCTTCGGTGTAATTAAGTGGCAAGATTTGAGACGCCAGGGTGTACGCTGACAATAAGGTTGTATCTTCATCGAGTTGGTAGTTTCAAATGTTTTGAATTTCTTTGTAGATAAGTTCTTTGAGAAATTTTGAAAAAATCAAAAAAAGTTCCATCTCAAAAACAACAAAGAATTGAGCAGTCATATTTGGAGGCAAGATTCGCAATCCTTGAGAGTAGTCAGACAGGACCTTACTACAGGGTTGGGAATTTCAGATTTTGCGAAATCACAAAAAACGTCATTTCTCAAAAACTAAAAGGATTTGAACAGTCATATTTGGAGACAAGAGTTTTAACTCCTTAGAGTACTCTGACAGGAATAACTACAGGGTTGAGAAAATCACAAAAAACGTCATTTCTCAAAAACTAAAAGGATTTGAACAGTCATATTTGGAGACAAGAGTTTTAACTCCTTAGAGTACTCTGACAGGAATAACTACAGGGTTGAGAATTTCAGATTTTTAAAAAATCATAATAATTTAAGTTTTCTGAAAATTTTTGAAAAAATCACAAAAAACGTCATATCACGAAAACTACAAGGATTTGAGCAGTCATATTTGGAGGCAAGACTCGCAATCCTTAATAGTACTCTGACAGTACCCAACTGCAGGGTTGGAAACTTCAAGTTTTGTAAATTATTTAGTTATTTGAAATTTCTGAAAATTTTGGAAAAAATCTCAAAAATCGTCTTATCTCGTTAACTAAAATGATTCGGGCATTTAAAATTGGATGCCAAATTCGCAACCCCTAATTCGATATTGGGCTGCTTAATTTAAACTCGTCAAAATTACCACTAAAATCAAATTGGAAAATCGAAAAAAAATTCTTAACCATTGCAATATACGATATAGCTTAAACATGCAATAATAATACGTTGAAAAAGCTTACACATGGCGAGATAGTGAAGCCCGCATTTAAATATACAATAGATAGATAAAGTAGCTTTCCAGAAAAACAATTGGTTGAGAAAATAGAAAAAAAATTTCAAAGCATTTAAAAAAAACGATCTCCTACACTTTCATAATGCCTGTTTTTATCAGACAGGAACTTTGAAGAAAATTATAAAACAAAAAACCCTAAACCCTGGAATATCAAGAATCTTTTACACAGAAGCAAAGTTGCACTTCGCATACACAAGCAAAAATATGACCGATAACGCTACTGAGAAAAACTGAATAAGTAAAACTTTGAGTCTACAAAATTTCTGAAGTGACGCACGCCAATTATGAGTCTACATAATTTCTAAGTGACGCAAGCCAATTATGACATATTGGCAGTACCAGTCAACGTGAAAAAAAAACTACCAACTAACATACCTCAATTTAAAGTTTCTCAATAGAGCGGACGCATTTTAGCGAGTATACGAAAAATTTCATTAAAAACATCCGACCCTGCCCAGGTTCGAACCATCTTTCTTAGTTGCTGGTCTCAGTACCTACCTCTACGCTACAGATCCATGAGAACTTAAAGCTAAAGTGCTATTTGTAATATAATAGTCTGTGATAATATCCTTAGCATTAGCTATACTTAATAGCTGGTTATTGATCAAAATGAACACTTTCAAAGTGAACAAGTTTTGTCGCAACAATATTTGCGACTTAGGTCGGAAAAAAAGAAAGTTCATAATACAACATAAGCTTTGCTTGTGTAATGAAAATCATTTCTTTTTTAAGCATTCGCTTAATATCCCCTGACATGAAACAAACCTTTTTTGAGATACAACACAAGATAACGGAACAGTCGAAAAAAATCGAAAAATTGAAAAAACTAAATCTATCAAAATGAATCAGACTAGTTTTAAAACAGAAGCACGCCAAGACAAAAGAGGGCAAAAATAGCATCGGAAGAAAATTTTACCGAGTGGTAACAAAACAAAAAATACCATAGCAGAAACCCTTTGAGCCGAAAAAAGTCCAGGCTTGTAAAGTTAATAAGTCCCCCTGGCACTCGAAACAAAGACACTCACGCAATTTTTTTCGCTCGTCGAATGAAGCAATACGAGGCCAATAAGCCGATATTATATATGCCGAAACCAATCAAGCTGAAAAAAAATGATGTCATGAAAAACTTGAATTAAGTTTCTATTATGATTTTAGCAACTTGTGCAATCTACAAGTGAGCATACAAATTACGTTGAAACTGCTCAAAATTAGACCACTCAGCCAATAAAACATAAGTCGAACGCATTTGGGCAGAAAAAAATTTAAGCGAAAACAATAATATTAAGAAAAAAACGCTAAGTCAAGAATTTAAAAACAGCAGAAGTAAATCAAAACACTAAGAGCAATGAGCAATATCTATGATGTGGCAACTAAGCCGACAAAGCATAAGCAGACAAAAAGCCGACAAAACTTAAGCAGACAAAAAAGCCGAACTTTTTTTTGAAACTGAACATTTCCCGTTTGAAAAAAAGGATCTTTAGATTCGAACCTAGGATCGTAGCCGTCCTAAGCGTATTCGTTACCTCCAGACGAAAAGTGCGAGACAAAAACTGAATTTATTATAAACTGAACGTAAAATTACCATTTGATTTTTTTTTACCATTCTGAGAACAAAGTTGTTTATGGGAAAAAGTCCAGTACCCAATTGCAACTCCCTTGCTTATCGCAAAGGTAAAAAAAAAGTACTGACTGATTGGAGGTATCTGCTGAAGACGATGAATCAGACAATCGTCCATGCTTGCTGTCCTCTTCTTCTCCATCGCCACATCCTCCTTCTGGTTGTATGTGCAGCTCCTGTTGTCCCTCAGCCGGCAATGGAGTGGGTACAAATTCATCCCCCGTCACATCACCAAGAGAAGAGTGAGAACTCTGTATCAAAATGAACAACACAAAATATTTCAGTAAGTGACTATTGTCGAAGCAAATGGATACAAACTTCATGAATGTCCAAACAGCATAGCATGGAAAGTTGTATTAAAATTCCGAATGCTCACTTAGTTGTTTAGCCGAATACTTGAAAATAATCGATCACATTCAAAATTGCAAAGATAATTTGTGGACAAACTCTTTTCATTAAACAAATTTTCGAAAACAAGCACAAAATAATCGTGATATCCGTACGCTCAGTAAAAGAATATTAGTGCTAAAGACTATACATGTTTTCTGATGTTAAAATTAGCTTTTATTAGTGACTACAGTTACTCATCACGAAGAAAAACTGTTGTTTTCCTAAATACTAATTGATATCCGTATGAGTACTAACCGGAAGTAAAAGTGATTCAAGGTCGAATGGCTCGTTGGTTTGGTTGTTGTTCGGCTCATTTGCTCCAAAGCTCAGAGACGACCCAACAGAAAATGGCAAAATAGGGTCTGGCGTCTTCAGAGATTCCACTTCCTAAAAAAAGATGAAATTCTTGAATAACCATATCAATCATACATTTCCGAGCCAGAACTTTTTGACAACTTTATGCGCTTACAAGGACAAACACAAGTTGCTGGTATTCTCCAATTTCTGAGTCGTGGTGGAAAGTTAGCCAATAAATAATTTCAGAACTTCTCGCGAGTAATTCTCAGAAAAACGTTCAGTGATTTAGCCAGAACACCAATTTGCTTCGAATTTAAGGTGCCTTCCAAAAGCAAAATTAACAGCAGCGAAGTAGACATTCACACCACTTGCAATACAACACAAACATAGCATGACAAACTAGCACACATATGGAGACGAAAGCCGCAAAATGTCAAAAAAAAGCTAGATCTACTAAAATTGAATAAGAAAATTGGAAGTTAAACTTGCATCAAAACAAAACTTACGAAGCGGTTACAGAGCGCACAATTTATGAGCAGACACTCACCAAAAAAAAAAAACTTTTAAAAAATATTAAACTACCGACTCAAAAGAAACACACTAGAAACTTGTTTCGCTCATCTAAAGTCGCAATATGAGGCCACTCCATCAGGCATAAACTCGATCAGGTATAAACCGAAAAACTTTTGAGCCGAGTAAACAAAAAAACGAGGAATAACGAAAACACGGAAATTTTACGTAACCTAGTTAAATTTAAAACCAAAGTTGGGAATTTAGAACCAACATAAAAAAAGAAATATTGGCACAGAGGCCAAGTTGCAACTTCGCAAACATAGCCAACAGGCAGTTGGAAAATAGCCAATGAACGCATGTAAACAGAAAAAAAATACTGTCTTGTTTTTTGAAAAAGCCTCAAACTTCGAATTTGAAAGAAAAATAGATACCCTTAAAGCTCGTTGAAATCCTAGAACAGTTTATGATTGGCATTTTTTTGATAAAAATAACCCAATTTGAGAAAACTGCATCAATATGTAAAATTTTTATTTCGTTGAGAAATCTGAAAAATGAAATGAATTTTACACTTTTGCTGTTCGGAAGTCGAGCTTGCCTTCCTTTTATTAAAGGAAATGAACTGAACTTAAAAAAATTCGAAAGTCAAACACCGAAAAAGTAAAAACAAAAAAATCATCGCGACCGGTATCAAATTTCTAGCTTGCAAAAAACAGGTCCCGGATGGATTCGAACTACAAGCCTTTGTCATCATAAAAGATGCGTAACCTCTATGCCAGATGTGCTGGAGGGTTGCTTGAATTTATCATGAAGCAATTTGAAACACGAGTAACATTTTTACGAACATTAACTTCTGAACATTATTTACAGGAAAAAAGTAACCGGGTGCATCAGCCTTGGTAATCTCGAGGGTTAATAGTGCATGCTGATAGTGAAACTACAAAAACAGTGGCTCTTTTCCACTCCATTCCCACATTTGAATTTCAAGTCCCCCCAGATTTGAATTTCAAGTTTGTTTAACTGTTTTATTGTTGCATGGTGAACAAACCAACAGTTGATAATAGATTTTGTCTTCACTCTTTACATCGTAATATCACGCATTTAGCCGTTATATCTCGTAAAACAACAATGAAAGCGGAAATTTTGAAATTTGGGGGAAACCGGAAACTTTTTGTGAACTAATACTCGACGAGCTAGTAAACGATGCATACCAGTTTATAATTGGTTCCGAAATTTTTACCTTGAATATTTCTTCAACACGCATCATCCTGGGATTATTCGCCATCAGATTCTGTGCCCTCATTCTTTCCAATTCGTTCACATTCGTGTATGCTGTTGCTCCATTTGCATCTGAACTCATTCTGCTCACTAAGGGCGATGCATTTTGGGCAGGAGACGAAGGCTTAGCTCTCGCCATCGGAGCTACTCTGGCCATAGGCGGGTCAGTCTTCAAATGCTTGGATTTGTCATGCACTTTAAGAGGGCTGCGCCTGCCTCCGCATATCGAAGGCTTCCAATGAGATCCAGAAGAGCAACTATTTTGAGTGGTGTTCGGATCCTGTTGGTTCTGGACGTTGGATCCGTGGTTCCCAGGAGTACCTCTAGGAGAGGAAATACTCCTTGGGGAATCGGATGCATAATTGCTACCAATTCTGGATGCCGAATAAACTGCCGAGTTGGTGGAACACTCATCCGGTTCCGTTTTTAAGGGAACACCACTTTCAGTGTCTCCATGATCTTCATGGTTGCTAGCTGATCCAGATATTCTGGGTATTTTGTTCGAGTGATCTTCTCCGTAAGGCGAATCACGTCCGTGTTTCAGTCCACCCAAGGATTTCCGAGGCGAACGATGCCTAAACAATTAAACTTGAAATCAAGATTGCATCGCAAGCACGAGGTATTTTCCCAAACGCATATTTAACACATAGGCGATGCGGAACTTCGCACCACTTGCGATACAACACAAACAATTAAAAAAAACATTTAAAATGAAGAAATAGGTGAACCAGAAATCTCATAATCAGTTCTTTCTATTGAACCCTTCATCTCAGATTCGATAAGGTAGTTTCTAATAAAAACCAAAAAGTTTCTAAAAAAAGGTCAAAACTCAAAAAATGGACTCAGTAAATTGCAGAAAGAAGACCGCTGCTGCTAAGCAGAAAAGATTCCAAAAGTGTGTTAGTCGATTGATGCTTTAACCTAGAAATTGGCATGGTAGTTTTCGACAAAAGTTAAAAAGTTTCTAAAAACGATTTAAAAAATTGACTATTCCGAGGGCCATAGTTTTTTGTGTAGAAAAAAATTGAGCGTCGCCGCGTATGCAGAAGAGCTTCCCACAAGCCGTTTTATCCATAAAGCTTACACTCTCAGATTTGGGAAAAAATCCAAAACGAAAAAATCCAAAAATATTCCCGTAAATTAAATCTTTTTTGAAGACAGCAGGGTAAAATTAAAAGATACTAGCGGATTATGATCCTCATTTTAAATCCGACCATCTTTGAGCAAACACCAGTTAGAGACAAAAAATGACTCTAAAAACAATAGAAATTTCAAGTCTCCGCTAAAACTACAATGATCAACAATTGCAGCTACCATTATAGCTGCTTTGCGCACAAGAAAAATACGCGATGTGGCACCTAATCGACAAACCTTGAGCAGACAAACGAAGGTCCAACCATTCAGTCTTTAGCGAAAAAATTCAACTTCATAGAAACTGAAAAAATAACATGGTCCTGCCGAGACTTAAGCCCCAGATATTAGGCTGCAAAAGTGGAAAGGAACCTGAAAGTTGTAAGGTTTCAATAATGAAGCAAACTCATTTTCTTGTAAGAAAAGTTGTTTAACGAAAAAAAAATTCTAGGTTCCCAACTACACGACACTTGCTCTCGCAAGTGTAACAAGGATAGTCTTGTTCCGACAGAATGTTCCGACCAGGGTCTTAAAAAATACAAAAGATACTTTTTCAAATTAGGGTAGTTTTTTTCACCATGGTGTGATTAAAGGATTTGAACAAAAAACTAGAACTTAGGCATATTCGACAGCCATTATAAAATAGGCAACTTAGACATCAGTTTTTGTAGAAAATGGGTAGAAAAGCAAGCAAATAATTGAAAATTATTTTTGAAGTTGGATTCTCAAACAAAATGGCGCTAATAACCTAAAACTAACTTTACCAGAGTAAATCAAAAATGTTCAAACTGTTTTTCTCAATACCGGTCACCTTTTCAATATTCCTTTATTGACGTTCGATTCGCGACTAAAAGGCCTTCAATATAATATATAACTCGAGCCATTTCGATGATAATTAATGGTACCTCATTTTGCATTAAAAAATTGAAACACCATAAAAAAGTTCCTCTCCATTTTTTTGGACGGAACAAAAACAAATATTAAGATCGTAGTGTCTCAATTTAAATACTTATCGAATTCGAATTACAAGAAACATTATCACAACTATTATTTTATCTGTTCAACAGCTTCAGATTTAAGACAGATGACCGACAAAAAACCAAAGAAACTAAACAAAACTAAATCTGACCTGTCTTCTGAATCTGGACGAGAAAGCGACGAAGGCAACGATGATCGCACTGTTGTATAATTGTCTGGTTTGCTGGAGGGAAGATTGATAGGTTCAAATAACCTATCCGGATCAATTGCTCTATTTGTGCCATTGATGTTTTTTGCAGATACAGAATCTACACATTCGAGCTTGATTCTTTTCGACTCATTGCCCAGACCTAAGCTACTGCTAGTGCTACTGCCACTATTTCCTATGCTATGACCTTTTCTTTTGTCCAGTCCACTTTCACATCGAATAGCATCTTTATCTGAATGGGTTGCTTCGTTAGCTGATGATAATGAAATGTTCTTGGCAGGCTTTTTTGTGGGACTACTTTTCTGATCTGTTGTGGAGTTTTTGGTTGAGTTAGTTGGTGGGTGGTTTTTGTTGTAGTGCTTGTGTTTCTTGTTGAAGCTGGTACTAGTTGGACTAGAGTATACTGCAAAGGCACCGCCTGATGAAGCACCAGAAAGGGCTGAAATGAGAAACGGTAACTCGGCAAAGGACATTAACAACCGATAACAAAGGATCAAATGTGTGTTTAACAATCGATAAAATGATTTCTATAAAAATACACCGTCTATTTTGAACGAAAATACACCATTACAATATTGAAAAATCTAAAGATTAAAATAAAAAAACGCTAAAGCAATCATTGATTGAAGCACAAGTGATTTTTGAATTGCTTATCTCGCTTCATCTCGAACCAATGTATCTTCAATTCGCTCACCGAAATACACTTAATGGTTTTTATAATTCTTCAACCTGCAAATTAAAGAGACTTTTTAGCAACACAATTTTTTAAACCTCAACAAGTTTAAAAGATAAAAAGGCGAAAACAAAACAATGCGAAATTGTACGCAATCACAATACATAACGAAATTGAATTTTATAGTCAAAACTTACAGCCAAAAAGTCTTAGAGAAGCTCGAAAAAGCGTTGATTTTTCAATTATAAAATTTCGTTTAAAATGGCTAAAATTACTAAGACTCCGTTTCAATATAAATTGAACAAAGTGACTGATGAATTTACCTGAATCTTGATTTTTGACAGATGTCAGAGAAGTATGTTGAGGCATTGAATGCTCGCGTCCCTTGGAGCCATGACACGAGCGACCACTCTTGGACCCATGTGAGCTAGGCATTTCTGCTGTTTCTTCACTCACATGCGGAGGAGAGTGCCTCCCACTTTCAGTTGAAGGTCGAGATGACTGTTGTTTATGAGCTGAGTGTTTCTCTCGTCGTGGTGATTTGTTCGATGAAGATCCACTGCCGTGTTCAGGTGCGGATGATTTATACTTCTCTTCCCAGTGCTTTTTTGGGTTCGGGGCGCAATTAGTTCTCGAAGAACTACCGCTGCTATTAGATGATGAACTGTGTGAAGTTTCGGTTGAATGTTGCTTACGATTGTCCTGTTTTGCATGATGTGGGTGTTTAGTGTCCGGAGCTTGAGAAGTTCTCGAATTAATTGAACCAGACTTCTGATGTCTTGATTGCGAGCTGATTCCAGCTAGTTCCTCGCGTCTAAATACAGCAAAACCCAGGATAGACATAAGTAAGCTTCTTTGAACCGACAACACCAGTAAATGGCTGCATATTGAACTTTTTAATGAAAGGAATATTTAATTACCCTTCTAATTTGTATAACTAAATCTAGAGATAATAGCAAAATTTGGTCATATGCTATAATTTCCATTCACCTGGAACAGCTGCTTCATAGTGAGTTTTCACAGTCTTGTACTGCGACAAGACATTTTTGAGGAGTTGTCATATTGGCCATCTCAATTTTGATCCTAATGTTATATCACTTTACCAGGGAAAAAAACCTTGAATTGATCTCACATTTACTTCGAGCAGTTTGAAAACTTCTTTTCTTTGATTTTTCATGTCTTCGCTGACACATAATTTATTTTATGCAAGTTTAAAGCTAACTATTAACGGAACTTATTTCAGCAAAAACAAGGAAACATATGACGTGGGAAGTCGTAAAAATAACTACTACTAAGTAATCGTTTTTAATATTATAATTATAATTATTATCACGATAACAATTAAGTACGATTACTGCGTGACGATTAGATGCCCTCAAACGAAAATAATTCAACGGCTAAACAAGCAAATCTTGAACCTAGCAATGCACTTGCCGCCATTTTGCATTTAAGGAGAAATCGTTAACAAGATCCGAAAATATTTATTCGCAGAGATCCCAACAGGACAAACAGGAAACTCGCAATAAAATTAAAAATTCAAAGTCAGAAACAGAAGAAAAATGATCAAACGCATCCATCTAGTTTGTTTCTCAATTTTTGCAAGCATAATTGAAATCAGAATCTCATCTCCTGTAGCAATAAAGAAGCAACCTGTTACTCTTACTGTTCCAAACATCATATAAAAGCCTTTTTCAACCGTTGCTCAATTTATTGGACAACTTGACGAAGAGTGAATTCAACCTCTAGCTGATGTTGTGGCATAATCTCCTTGTTCGACAGGGGGTTTCCTAGTTGTCAGTGCAATTTGTCTGTACAGTTGGTGTTACTTGAACGTTGTTTTGACACTGACATTTTTTATATCAGAACCCGCCCTCATTTCCTCTCCTTTCTACTCAAGCCTTACTCTCGGTGGGGGAGTGAATGTCCCCATTTCGCCGTAGCAGGCGGCACATTGAGGAGGCGGGCGACACTGGGACCCCTCAAACCGTGATCGAAGTGGGGTTCGAACCCGCGACCTTCGTGTTAAACTTCATCTGAGTTGCTATCTCGACATGTTTTGCTGTTGTGAGGTTAACATCCCTCGTCATCTTAAATAATTTTTGAACTGTGTTTAGCTCTACCGCTCCTTCATGCAATGCAGAAAGAATTCGGCCTGATGAAGAGACAAAAACTTGGAATGTATCGAAGTTAAACAAGCGCTGTTAAATTCTCATCGTCTAAGGGATTTGGCCGTGGTCTCCTTGCTACAGCCCAAATTTGTGCACCTTGTTTTCAGTACATTGTTTCTCGAGGGAACTCTTGAGCAGATGTTTTCAGAGAGCATTTCAAAATTTAAAAAGTAGCCGGAAATTGTCTATCCGTAAAATTCAACCATTATGCATTCATGGGAATTAGAAACTCGAACGCTTTTGAGCCAGATGTTGAGAAGCGTTATGTCGTCTGCATATAAGACTACGACTAACTTTATGTCTATACTTGATTCCGGTATAGAGTTCATACAAGTCGAACTAGGATAGCCGGTTACTGTGCAAGTAGCACTGAATGTTCCGACCAGTCTTAAAAAAATACAAGATTTTTCAAATTATTGTTTTTTTTCGGCGTGCTGTGATAAAAGCTGACCAAGAAACTTGGTATAAAGTCTATTCTATAGCCATACTAAAATAAGCAAATATTGAAATACAATTTTTGAAGAAAAATTACTAAAATCGAAAAGTTGTTTGCAGTTTTTTAATTTTTTTTTTAATTTTGATTCCAAAAAGGCGCTAAAATACTCAAAGTAAACTAGGATAGCCGGTTACTGTGCAAGTAGCACTGAATGTTCCGACCATAGTCTTAAAAAAATACAAGATTTTTCAAATTATTGTTTTTTTTCGGCGTGCTGTGATAAAAGCTGACCAAGAAACTTGGTATAAAGTCTATTCGATAGCCATACTAAAATAAGCAAATATTGAAATACAATTTTTGAAGAAAAATTACTAAAATCGAAAAGTTGTTTGCAGTTTTTTGATTTTTTTTTTAAATTTTGATTCCAAAAAGGCGCTAAAAATACTCAAAGAAAACGTTGCCAAGAAAAAAAAATTTCACGTTTTAAATTAAGCTATTGTAAGCTTTTGAGCAATTAGAATAAGACTGCTCGCTCGCTTTATTCGCTCGAAATAAAACGAAAAATCTAAATTTCAAACCGGTTTTGGCCTGATGAAGAGGCCGGACACTGGAAAGTTTTTTGAAATTTTTTTAATGTGGTTCGAATCACGACTGTAAGGGCTTTAACGTGATATATCACTCAATCCAGTCCTATCTTTTTTGTGGTACCTGATTTTGCGTGGAAAACAAAAAGAAAAATAACAAAAAAGCAAGGATAGCCGGTTAATGTGCAAGTAGCACAGAATGTTCCGACCATAGTCTTTAACTAACTAGTAAAAAGCTTTTATCAAACAAAAGAAGATTTTTTTCTGCCTGGGGCGATAAAAAAATCTCCTAAAAATCTGAACTATATTTTAGAAATATTCGACATTCATAGTCATAAACAAATTAGACAAAGTTTTTATACAGAAAATTCACTAGAAAAACAAAAAAAATCAAAAATATCCAAAAATTTTGAAGTATGGTTCCCAAAATGGAGCCACAAACTAATTTTACTTGCCTAAAGAAAGTTTTAAAGGCTTAAACTTTGCATTATCAAGCTGTTGTAAGCCTGATCGCTCCCTTTATTTGCTCGAAAATAGACGAAAAGTTAAAATTTCAAACCAGTTTTTCTCGATGCAGAAAAAAATTTCGGGAGTTTTTTTATTGTGGTTTCTAATCACGGCTGAAAGGGCTTTAATATGATATATCACTCAAATCTGTCCGATGATTTTTGTGGTACTGATTTTGCGTGGAAAACAATAAGTAAAAACTAAGTAAAAGTAAATACAAAGTTCCTCCCCATTTTCAATCGTCGGAACAAAAACTAAAACAAGTGCGAATACAAAGTTCCTCCCCATTTTCAAGGGTCGGAACAAAAACTAAAACAGACGTAAATACACATTTCCTTCCCATTTTCAATGCTTGCCACAATGCTCGCCAAATGCTGGAGAAAACCAGCTTGTGGCGTCCGTGGCGAGCATTGCTTTGCTCCACGTTTGCCTGACGATTGATTTCATAACTCAACGTATCTTAGTTGAACAATGTGACTAAGGTCTTGAAGCGCTCTTGCAGATATGAGAGCAGCCATCGATTTGTTGTACGTTAGGGAGGTACTTAGTTTGTCTTCAAGGACCACTCGAGTCGAAGGCCGCGTCTCAGTTAAATACACCAAGTAACAATCAATGACATAGCCTTCTTATATCGAGACACTCAGCTATTTTGTGGTTGATGCAGTTGTTGAAACTGTTGCTTGATCGTTCTTTCCTGATTCCATGCTGATTGTTAACTATTTCAATACATTGGTCCAATTCAGCAGGAATATTCGTTCTACTTTTTTTGCAATGCTATACATTTACGCAATGAAACTTTATGCTTTAGACATTTCGCGGTCTTTAGTGTGCTCGAATTTTGCTGTAAAATAAATCTACCGAGCTTTTAGCTATGGGTTCTGCTGGCGACATTGGACAAAACGTTGATAACTTTGGTAACCTACACATGCATAGCGACTCAGAGTAATCGAGGTGAATTGGCCAAGACTTATCAGCTCCCAGCGCCTTGCTCTTCACTTTCGTTGATTGCAATCTGAACTTCTTCAAGTGTTTAAGTTAGTTGCTTTGAAGAGCAGTTTCCTAATTTACGGATAACAAATAAATTTTCTGCGTCAAATAGATTTGGTTGAGGTATTTCTTTCGTTGAAAAATTTGGCGCACAACGCATAGTATACGCGTGGGTCGTAAGCGAAGATCAATGCTTTTCGCAACAATTTATATTTCTCGCGGAATTTTAATTACTTTGGTTTCATGGGAAAAAATGCTTTTCGCAACAATTCAGATTTCTCGCGGAATTTTAATTATTTTGGTTTCATGAAAAAACATGATGGCGGAGGGAGCGATTTTCAGTCAAAACTGAGAGCCTCGAGGGTAGCACGTACGGTGATCAACCTTGGTATCATATTCAAGCACCATTGGTGTCAATTCAAATTCCGAAAAACAATCAGTGCAATAAAATTGGTCTAAGACCAACTTACCAGCGCAGATTACTATTTTAATTGCATCCCTCATTATTTACGTCAGTTCAGATTTTGCTTTGAGCGTTGATTGACCAGCTAGCACCTAGTTCTGGGCATTCTATTCTGTTGAAAAAGGGCTTGCCTTACCTGTCTCGCTTTTTGGGTACCAATTAAAAATTTGATCGTGATAAATCTTTAGCATAGTATTGCACGCTACACGAAAAAAAATGAAGTCAATGGGTCTAATAAATGAAAAAAAAAATCAGGAAATCATTAGATCAGCCAAAAAGTTAAAATTACTAAGATTCTGTCATCTCGAGAAAATTTTGTCGATTTTTTTTTCTAAGGTCAAGCAAATCAATTTTCTGAGCGCTCTCAGATCCATATAAAGACCCTATTATGACCAAACCAATTGCGCCGCGCGCAAAATAAAAACCGTCAAAAATGCGATTTCGGGCACGTTTTGGAAAATTTTGAACAAAAAAAAATTGCGTTTTTTCGGCGCGCGCTCCACATCAAAATAAGTATATATTGGCGCCATTAGAAAAATTTTAGGGTTGGTCCGCCTAAAATAGATGTCATAAAATAATTCTAAAGGGTGGAACCTTTGGTCGGTGAGGGTGTCGAACAACCCCCCCCCCCATAAGACCGATAAATGATTACGCCTGTCCAGCCTGCGCCAATGCCGCCATAGATACTTCCAATATTAGTTAACAGCAAACAATGCAAAACGCAGCTCTTCGAATAGTGACAGGGTAAACTAAAATGAGCCTCGGTGCAAATTACTTGAGGTGAGAAATCACCATAAGCTACTCGCAACTTAATTCGCTCTCAAAAATTACGTGCCTTTAATTCCATTAATATTTTTCACTCTCACCAGCCTCCACCTTCCACCTACCCTCACCCCCCAAAAAAAAACTACGCCAAAACATTATAGACACTTAAAAAGACGAACTCTAACTGGTTTTTAATAACGCAAACGAGTCCAACTATATAACATATTGTAGCTTAGCGTTTTGGTAAACCAGAACTTTAAACGCGCCTTGAGCACATTCAAACTCACGATTTCAAAAATCCATTAATGAAGCCTCCCATCCAAAAGTTTTCCTTTTAAGACCACCAGATGTATCTTCAACAGAACTGACACTCCCCCGCTAAACTAGACGTACCCTCGCTCAAATAAGATCCGGCTGCGGTCCCTACCATAACAAATTTTGAAAAGGATAGGCCCAAAAGTCCCCCTAGCTGCCGTTATCGCCCAGCACACCACACTACTACATCTTTTTAACTGTCCCCAAAACGCAACTTCGCTGACCCCAAAAGACCTGTGGCTCAGGCTGATTGAGGCCGCAACGTTCCTTAGACTCGGCGAGAGCATGTCGGACGCGCCAAAAACAACGACCTACCCTAAATCCAGCCCCGGTGTCAGCGCTTTGCAACAAAACTTACCAATTGGTATCCAAGCTGACAAAATTGGTAGACGTCCTAGAATCAAAAAATGATGTCACAAAAACGAACTTTAAACAAGTCTAAATTCGAATAAAACGAAAAAATATTTTTGTGCTTCTAGCGACTTACTATACGGCAACTTAGACGATATAACTTTAAATCTTAAAACAAGATGGGGTGTTGGTCTATTTAAGGGAGTCCAGGAAGACATCTTTTAACAAATTTGCTACTGTGAAAAAGTCTGGTACCTGGTTGCAATACGCTTGCTCGTTGCAAACGTACTTAACCCGAAATTGGTCAAAATAATACGAACCATTTTCAAGGAATAACAAGGATAGCCATTTACTTTGCAAGTAGAACCGAAAGTTACGACCATAGTCTGGATAAAATACAAAAAGTAGTTTTTTTTATATTTGGTGTCGTTTTTTCTATGTGTTGTGTTAAAACGATCTCAGCTAAAAACCAGAATTACGAAAAGATCAACACTCATATTGAAAAAAAGACAAAATGGACACTAGATTTTCAGAAAAATGACTAGGAAAACAAAAAAAACTTAAAAAAATCAAACATTTTTAGCACTTTTTTTGAAATTTCAAGGTTTTTAATTCCCAAATGGGACTACAAAAATACTCAATAAAAATTAGTTGAGTGAAACAAAGTTCTAAGTTTTCACGGCCTAAAATAAGCAAAAATAAGATATAGCTAGCCGGCTCATAGTAATAAAAAAAGAAGACAAAATAGTCCGAAAGCTTTTTTAACAATAGTTTGTGAAAAAAAACTATGAAAACTAAACCGATAAGAATTGAGACCAGGATCATATAAACAAAAAATGAAACACTTATTAAATGTTGTACAAGAGACCAAGCCCAGAGTTGTACAAGAGACCAAAAGAAAGCCGATTTAAACAAAGCAGACAAAAGAAGTCGAAAGCTTATTTTTCCAAGAAAAAAATACGAAACACAAAAATTGGCTCTGGTCAGAACCAACTCAGCACCCCAAGCATGATGGTTACCTCTAGGCCACACGAGCAGAAGCTTTCATTGGTTTTGAATTTAGAATAAGACTCTTAACATCTCAGGTTCAAAATGAGAGCTCATTTTAATTTATAAAAAAAGGCTGAAGACCGGTTAAAATACCCTTGACAATTGCAAGGGTAAAACAAAGCCAACAGACAGTTGGAAAAGAGCAATGAACGCAAAAAAAAACTGAAAAAAACGCTGACTTTGTTGAAAAAAACTCAACTTGCGAATGTCAAAGAAAATAGATGCCCTTAAAATTATGATTGGCGCTTTTTTGATAACATTAACCCAACTTGAGAAAACTGGATCAATAGGTAAAGCTTTTATTCCGCTGGAAATCTATATTAAATTCCACTTTCGAAACTAGAAATTGTTCACGTTTTTTTTTCGCGCCATTTTCATGTTCGTATTAGGTGCTATTTGCGTCACTTTCAGCAGATGAAATTCAATTGAATTCAAAATGTGCATATATATTTAAGTGCATTCATAAATGCATCAATATGTATGAATGCACATCTGTAGCTATTAGAGACTTTAAAGACTTTTCCTGAAAAAAAATCAGCAAGACCTATAAAAGAGTCTTCGCTACGTTTATTACTCTTAAAGAGGATTCACTTTAAGTGTTTGGAAAAAAAACTCAGTAAGCAGAGCCTATAAGAATCGAGAAGTGGATCATAAAACCAAAATCCTGAGGACATACGTATCAAATTCGGTACGGGACACTAAGCCCATACCAAAGCAATCGAAGGCACGCACTTTTCTTCTGAACCAAGCAAGCGACTGAAAGTTATCGATGGTTTTAATAATGTTTACGGCAAAGTGGGTAGTCCTCGGTTATAGGACACTTGCTCTCGCATAAGTATAAAAATAACGAGGAACTAGTGAGAACTTCAGGTTCATTTTTTCTCTTCAGATTTTAATCGCCTACTTGGTAGACTTGAATAAGACACGCGTAGTGCCTTTCGTTCGTTCAATTCAGTTGTTCACAATGAAAATTTCCAGTTTAATAAACATAACTTTGGAGAAACAAGTACATCCTTTCAATTAAAAAAAAAACGAAGTTTTTTTTTCATATATTATGTTTTGCCATGACCAGTCCGATCGGCTCATTTTGTACTGCTTTCACAGCTAGCCTTAATTTTCATTTGCCCATGTTTATACAAAAGACAATTTATCGAGCCAAAAATCTATCATTTACCCAGGTGATGCGGAGGTCAAAATTTCAGCCAGTCGCTCGTAGTCCCCCAGAATCCCCTTTAGGTCATAGTTATCTGCTGAAATCTCTCCGTCTTCAGGTGAGAGCTAGAAATTGATGGTTTGGTTAACGAATGACTTTAAAACGAAAGCTCACGGAATAAATATGAACAACTTCAGTTGATCGATATGACTCACTTTCACCGGGGCATTGAAGGTGAAATCGTCAGAACTTCCCTCTGAGAGAGTTTCAGAGTTACCTCTGAAACAATACTGGCCCTCCATTGGACATCATTAACGAAACATTCCAAAAGAACTGACTCAATGACGCCAAATATATATTGCTTTCAGGTGGTGGCTATAATCTGAAATGACATATCCATTAATACACTAGTGGACAAAATTAAGCGCAAGTTCACATTTTTCTATCTGAAAAATGCCTCTTTTCATTGTCCATTCTGGTCAACATTTCCTTCAAAATTCAATAAATTTTTTTCATAGACTAAAAACAGATGATCTGAGCTACATTCTATAAAATTAAAAAATTTTGGTTTTTAAGACTTACCATTGTTTTCTGGGTCTCAAAATGCGTTTTCACCATCTGCACTAGGTTTTAACAAGTGTGACAACTGTGATAAGTGAGAGAACCTTACTTAACTCAACTGTTTCTAACAATTTCACGCATTTTGAAAACTTTGTGCAGATGGAGAAAACTGGAATTTTCAGACCCAGAAAACACTGGTAAGTCTTTGACAACGAATTCTGTTAATTTCATAAACTCTGCAACAGTAGCTCCTCGCGTTGTAACACTCGCCCATACATTACACAGTGACGGAGCGTAGAAAAAGTACCTATTGAAGACTGGCTGACGTCAGTTACCTTAATTCTACTCGTTTTTAACCGTCTTGACCTAGCCAGTTATTTTTCAGGTCTGTTACGGGCTAAGTAATAAGATACCATTTTTAGTCCAGCAGCCAAACGACTTTTGATCAGCTTTCGTGTAACAGTCGCCTACTTAAGTCACATATCAGGTTAAAGAAAAATAGGCCCTATAACCATTGGCTCAAGAGTCAGGGCAGGGGCTCCGTAAAAATAATGGTAGTGGAATAATTTTTGATAAATAATTTATTTCGACTAATTTAAAATAAAAATTATGTATTTTTCGAGAACTTTTAGGGAAATTATTTATTTCTCGCGTATGGAATATTACAAGAATTCCAGAAATTATTTTATCTAGGGTTCACTGCGAACAACGCGTCACATTACGTCATTCATTACGTCAACCAAATGCAAGCTGCTGTGAAAATCCTTCCACTTTACTTTCTCAGTATAGTATACAAGGAAATTTGCCACTGGTTTACAGCCCATATCAGTGGATACTCTTATTAATTATGTAGACAAGACCGTAGAAGAAGTTGAGAAGGCAATTGCGAGCGCACTTCCTGAAAAATTTTTATTTTTTTCATTTTGGAATAATTTAATTATGGCCATTATTTTTTTTTCTTCTGAGAAATAAAAATTATTTAGGGATTCCAAAAAGTTAGGGAAATAATTTAGGGGCTAGTAGCCATATAATGGAAATAAATTTTACGGAGCCCCTGAGTCAGGGACACTATCTCTTGTGTTTTTCTACTCGAACGGTCGGAGCCAATTCGGTTCACTTTCGACATGAGACCAAAACCCTCGTTACAGCTTAAAGGCCACAACCAAAATACCCCCCACTCTAGAAAATAAGAACGTCCCCATACTGAGGTCTCAAAATACCCAAATTACGCGAACGCCGTTAAAGACAGGGTCGGAACATTCCGTTTCACTTGCTTTTTATTAGACAGTGGAACTTTGATCGATATCAGATGGATCAACCTAAAACTCTCCTTGCCTCAACATAACAATTATAAAACACACTCAAGAAAACTAAATTGGGTTCTCACATACCAGCACACTCGAGAATTGGAGTTACTGAATTAACAAGCGACTCTAGCATAAAAGTTTTTCACTGCAGTCAGTGGTGCAATTGCGGAACCTACAAGCCTCTCTAAGTAAGTTTATAGCTCTCGGAACCCCAATACGGGTTCCACTGTTTTAGACTTGCTAATTTTTCTATCTTTAAGTCATCTCAAGCTCTCGGAACTCCTAACGGGTTCCACGGCGAGAGGTGACTTCTCATCTAAATACCGCTACCAGCTGGTAGCCCGATAGTAAATCACAACAAAACATATCTTCAAAAAAAACCCATTCAAACAGCCCCAAATAAATGACTTCTAAAATGGAAAATTACAAAAGATGCAAAACATGCTCAAAACCCATAAACAAAAGAGACGCAGTATATAACTGTGTGTCATGTGGCGAAAGTATGCGCATGACTACAAACTGTACAGACTTGGAAGAAAATGCCATAAACGTATCGAAACAACTGAACAAGAATGTTCTTCTGTTGTGTAACAGTTGGGTGTAAAATACCCAGAAGGATGCAATTATTAATACTAATAATGCGAATGAAAGCACTAAAAAAATGTGCCTATCGAAGAAGGCATCAAAGAACTCAAGGAAGCGATGATTGAAATCAAATCAAAAATGCAACAAAAACAATGTGCACCAGAAGCGAAAAAACCCACACCCAAAAACGGGAAAGCATCCCAAAAACAATACGATGGCATATGCATAAGAGGCATACCCGAGTCAGATGCAACAGACGCCAGGTCAAGAGCAGACGAAGATATGCAAAAAGTGATTCGTCTTCTTTATGTGATGGACGTCAAGTGCCCAATAAATGATCTCATAAGACTCGGAAATTAAGCGGAAAATAAAAATCGCCCGTAAGTTCTAAGAGTCTCTGCGCTATGGGAGAAACGAAGAATCCTTCTTTCTCTACACACGCTCAAAGGCTACGAACACAAAGTATTCATAAGCAAAGAGCTAACACCTGATGAACAGGAAATCGAAAACAACATGCTTAAAACAAGTCGTGATCTCATTCAATCCGGAAAATTCGAGAGCACACAACTGCGACTAAGAAATCTAAAATTAATTAGAAAAACTGAAAACGGCTGGGTAGAGGTAAAACCCGATGACGATTCAGCCTGACTAAGCCAAAAACATAGACTGGTATCAACAATACTCACCTTTAATATAAGAAGTTTAATAGAAATGTCACGGCGAATTTGTTTAGCAAATGCAATCTGTCTTTCAAATAAACATGATAATTTATGCCTAACTGAAACATGGCTGACTGATGAAGTAAGATCCGAAACTCTTTTTTTTTCATACCAGAATTCGAAATATACAGATGTGATCGACCATCCAAAAATTATCAGACGAAACATGGCCATGTCTTAATTGCCATCAGAAACAACTCTAAACATTAACATGTACCGATAAACTCAAATATTGAACAAGTTACATTCAGACTAATTGATTTCGAAAATATCTCCCCTCTCATTTGCTGTGTTTATTGCCCACCAAAAGATAGCCCACATAGACCAACAGCCTTTTCTATTGTTGATTTTCTAACCAAAATAAGTGCAACTGCAAAAGACTTGAATTGTGAAAAAATAATGATAACTGGAGATATACGTTTTTCGAAAACTGACTGGAAAGCAATGGCATCAGATGATCCCGAGGAAGATCTAATCCTTGAACTTTAGTTGATCACAATTTTGAACAAATATTGGCACCTGAAAAAGCAAAAAGCTTAGATGTCTTCCTAGTCAACAAGCCCTCCCTAATCATTAACTCTTTCATTGATGAAAATGTTAATAAAATGTATTCAATAGAAAAAAGAACCTCAGTGATCACAATGCCTTTACAACAGAAATCAATCTGAACCAAAGGCTAATTGAAACAAGAAGTGATGACAAAGTAAAATATGCATTCAAAGGAGCAGATTTGAGTGCAATCAACACTACAATAATCAATAATCCCTTCACACCGTTTTGCTTTAGTAACTGCGATTTTTTATTTGATCAATGGTACACCTGGCTTTGGAGAATTCTGAAAGAAAATATGACCAGAGTAACAGAACATAGAGCCACACTCCCCCCTTGGATCACACCCCCAACCTCCCACCTTATTAAGCGCAAAGAAACTTTACTTCGGAAACAGCAATCCTGTCCGAAACCAGAAATTCTATCTAAAACTACAAACTTAGAAGAAAAGATAAAAATTTCTGCTGATAAAGATCTGAAAAACTACGAATTAGAGATTTTTGCACCAAGAAAGTTTAGTACAATTCAGAAGTATTTGCGAAGCATAAGAAGAACACCTATACTACCTTGGATAATGAAACTTGATGGCAAATAACTTGAGACAGACAAAGAAAAATGCGATGCGTTTAATCAATTCTTCTGTAGTGTATTTACGAAAGCGGAACAAATAACCGAATTAAGTATCTTTGAAAAAGCAAAAAACAACCACATCGAGATGAATAAAGACTGCATTGAGAAAATAATGCTCAAACTAGACATCAATAAAACAACAGCTCCAGATAATTTGGGAAATCTTATCTACACAAACTTAGCAAAAACATTATCAAAATCAGTCCTCCTAATTGTTCAAACTTTTTTTGAATAAAAGTATATTCCCAGAAACTTGGAAGTTAAGTGAAGTTGTCCCAATCTTCAAAGATGGGAACAAATGCGATATTAAAAGATACAGACCGATAAGTTTACTATGCTGCATCTCAGAAATTTTCGAAAAGGTTTTATTTGACTACATTTATGAAAGAGTGCGACATCATCTTCATAACTCTCAATATGGTTTTTGTAAAAAACGTTCAGTAATTATCCAACTCCTTGCTTACTTACATCAAGTATACCTAAATTATGATGACCAAACGACCAAAAATATAACAGCGCTCTATCTAGATTTTGAAAAAGCTTTTGACTGCGTTCCGCATCAACTTTTAATGCATTAATTGAAGTGTTATGGTTTTGGAGGAAAAACAATTCAACTTAAAGCTCTTACTTATTTCTTCGAAAACAGTATGAGCGAATAAACAAAGCAAAGTCTAAGGTATGTTACGTAACAAGTGGTGTCCCTCAAGGTTCTCTATTGGGACCATTAATTTTCATACTATATATAAACGACTTACCAGATAACTTGAATCTAGTTGACTCTTTTGGATATGCTGATGACTTTAAGATTATAGCAACAACTCAAACAGAAATGAACTATGCCACTACGACAATTGAAAATTGATATAGTAAAAACCAAATGCGTCTAAATACCGGAAAATGTACTCTCGTTAATTTCAAAAACGAGCTGGAAGGTCAAATTAATGGAAATATCCTAAAAACCGAAACTGAACAAAAGGCTCTAGGAATTTTAGTATTACCCACACTCTCATGAAATGTAAATGCGTCTAAGC